AATAGTTCTGGCAATACACCAATACATATAGCTGCAAGTCGGGAGGATCTAGAAACCGTAAAGCTACTCCTTAGCCACAAAGACATCGAAGTCAATTGCAGCAATATATGGGGCGAAACACCAATACATGAAGCTGCAATTCAGGGGAATCTAAAAGTTGTAAAGGCACTCCTCAGTCACAAAGACATCGACACAAACATACGCACTGGTAACTACCACTGGGATTCTCTGTCTAGTAACAAAACCGCTCTCTGGCTTGCAAGAAGGCGAGGTCACATAGATATCAGCAATCTCCTCTTGGCCCACGGAGCAGTCGACGACGTTGATGAGGAACAGGATTCCATCCCAACTCTGGACTTGAACGGAGTGCCTGAAGCTACAGTCGCCGACCCTCTAGCACAAGGAGATATTGGGGATTTTAGTTCGGATATGGAGGTACAAGACCGGTTGTGGATTGCAGAGTTTATAGTTGATGAGAGGAGTGAGGAATTTGACTGAAACTACTTAGCTAGTGGTGGGCAACCATATCAAGATGTTGTCAGTATGTATTAGCTGTCCAGGAAACGAAGTACCACGAATCTCTTTAGCTAGACTGTTAATTTCCCAAATTAATTCTATCTCTCCAAGCAATCTATTCAAGAGTTGCAGAACTGTGGTTCACAAGCACGTCAAAATAGTGCCTGTAGCTCCCATGTGCCAAGGTCAACATCCACACATTCCATAGCATATCATACAAGCTAAAACGTACACTATACATACACACCTTCACTCTATATACAGGATAATACACTACATGCCCAGGACGTACATCTGCTGCAGCCTATCCCTCGTCCTTGGCATCGTTTCAATCGCGCGGACGGTCAGCGGCGCAATCTTTTCCAGCACCTCGCGCGCCCAGCCGCCGTACTCAGGATTATACCCCATGCCGTTGGCCTCCTCGCGCTTGATCTGGCCGTAGGCAGCTGCGAGGAAGACCAGCGTGCGGTACCGCGGCATAAGGGTCTTCCTCGATAGGTCGTCGTGTCTAACTTCCATGTACGAATAGCCGGTCTGCTCACGACGGACATACGCCGGATGCTGCTGGCGCCAGCCGGGGAAGTTTGGCATGAGGTAGGCCTCACAAGCAGTGAACGCATCCATGACCCTGCCTCTTCGCGCAAGCATCTGGATGAATTCATTCCAGGTGAGATTGTCGATAATATACCCGTTCGTGAGCAGGTTAGAGATAGTCCTCATCGCCTGTTGGAGACTCTGTGGGCTCTCCTGGGCGAGGAGGCTCCGAATGTAAATCCTGGAGGTCTTGAAAAGTATCTGTCGGCGGTTGCTCGCAATCCTTGCCTCTGCGGCCTGGGCTATCACAGACGGGTCGACCAGAGAACCGAACTCAATTTTGGGGGGGTCGGGATCTGTGGTAGCCTGGTGCCAAGTCTTGGTCATCTTATCTGCTTGCAATCGCGCGAGCTCCCAACATTTTGCAACCTCATCATATTCCTTTGCTGCAAGATGTGCCTCCATGATCGCAGTGAGGAGACCGATGGGGGCCTCGTATCCCGCCTCATCTGATTTCCCAATGGACGCAGCTTCGAACAGCTCCTTGCAAATGGCATACGCCCCCCGTGCACTGTAGAGCAATATGAGAAACCCAAAATATCCCTCGGGGACGCTATCCTGCGCCATACCAAGCAATCGGGCACGACGGGGCTGTCGAAGGGCCAAAGAGGACTCGTAGCTTTCCAACAACATCTCTCGGAGTGATTCCTCCACTTCCACCAGCCGCGTGAGTGGGTTTTCGTCGCCCGCATCTTGAAGCTTTCGCAGCTCGTTTATGCCAATCGTTTCTAAGGAGGCAAGGTGGGAGCTCACAGTTGGCAGCACGTTCCGGCGCAACATCCGTTTGCGAGCCTCCATAGCGCGATGAAATTGACGTTCGCGGATGAACCCCGTCATGACGAGCGCGTAGTGGAATGCGTGACCCCTGACTTGGTTTCTTGGCATGGTGACTCTCAAGATCTTATAGGCAGCATTGGTTTGGCGGAGCTCGACTAGGGAGCGCATCAGCCCAGCATACGTCCAAGTATCAAGAGGAATGCCGTTCTCAACCATCTGTTTGTAGACTCGTCGGCTCGACGCAACATCTTTTTGAAGCGCGTAATGTTGGATGATAAGGTTCCATGCAGGTGTGAGAGGGCCGTGAAGAGTGCCGGCACGGTGATCGGCGAGCATTCCTTGAGCAATCGCCTCGGCGCCTTCAACATCGTCTGAATTTAGGCACGCCTGCACATAGCCAGCTCTTGCAACTGCCTCATTTCGAAGGTGAACTTTGAGCTGCTGAGCTTTGGAAAAGATTTCTTCAAATGCCTCGACATCCCCCCTGCTGGCGCAGAGGTTCAACAGTGGCCCAAAAGTATGCTTGTCGGGTTGTATCCCCGACTCCAGGATCCGGCTAAAGCAGTGGAGGGCGCCGTCTAGGTCATCGGCTCTCGCATACGCAAGAAGCAAAATGTTCCAGCATGTAGTGTCCGGCGCCAGCCCAAATTCTCCAGATATTCGCTCAAACTGTTTCCCCGTACTGCGAACGTCGATGCGTCTAGCATACACAAATAGGAGCGAAGATAGAACGCGCAGGTCGATTTTGTGGCTATACCGTTCACGAATTTGGCTGAAATATTCGTGGACGCTCTCAGCGTCTCCGAATCCTGCATAAAATTCCAGAAGGTAGACCAGGGCGTCATACGGAAGGGGGGAATTCGGGTGAAACAAGTGCCAATCACTGACTAAGCCAGCGATGCCATTAAGACTGCCTTTGTCGCCGACTTGATGCATCAGTCGCATAAGCAAACGCATTGGGGGTCGGAAGTTTGGGTCAGGATTATGGAGCGCGTCTTCTCGGTATTGTCTGTACAGCTCCAGAAAAGGCTTACTACGCTGAAAGTACTCTTGGTATCTCAGCAAATTCAACATCTGTCCAATAGCACTATTATAAAAGTGCGCAGTTTGAAGGCCAAGAGTCCGAATGTCGCGGAAAAGATTGGTGAAAAAGTGCCATATAACGTCTTCATCCGGATCATCCACATTTAGGGTCTGTAAAGTGACTTCGGGCACGAATCCAGCCATGAAGAGTCTCAGTGCCTCCTTGTTTTCGTCGTTGGATTGAATTTCATGTTGGAATTGTCGAACGTATTGGAGCAAAGACAGTAGATTATTCTTCAAGTCTGGTATTTCTGCTATAGAAGCCCAGATGGCCCCCCAGAGGACCCCCTTTGGTTTGGTCCAAATCGATTTGAAGTCGTTTTCGCGAGAGACACGGCGCCAAAAAGCCTTGAATACGCGGAGGGTGAGGTCCCACTGATTGTCCTGTACGGTCTGTCCAAGAACGATATGTGTCCCAAATTGGAGCCCAACTTTTCCAGTTGCAGCTTCTTCGTGAAGTTGAACCGCCGGCCCTACCATTCTCAATGCGATGTAGGCAGAAATGGCGATTCGATATGACGATGCTCGACGGTGCTCGTGCGGTAGAGTGTTGAATACTCGAAGCATGCGATTGGCGTCGAACGAGGCCACGGGACAAGCAAGATATTCGAGAAGATCGGCACGCAAATCAGGTGTTCGACTCCGTTCCTGGATTGTAGAGTAAAGGCGCCATGCCAACTCTTGCTTTCCAAGCTCGCTCGTGTCTAGTATATCTCGAAGCGCATCACGTGCAGTGGAACCCTCCAGTCTCTGGTCAACCTCTTCTTGCAGTGCCAGCTTTTCCAGATAAATCTCCTCGTCCAGCTCCTGCCCATCCCTGCGTGTGGAGAACTGCCGCACACTAGTTCCATGAAGACAAAGTCTCCGTTGGGTTTGCAAGACATTCCATTTGCAAATTGACATTCTTCGAATTAGAGCAAGAGTCTTTTCTGGGTAGAGAAAATCTAGGAGCAATCCATTGTGGCCTCTCTGTCCCCTCGACTTGTCGTCCGAGTCAAAATCCGGGTGATTCGAAATCAAATCAGACGACCACCATATTGGGAGGCTTAAATCGCTCGCACCGTGATGCCAAAAGGAGGAATGCAGCATTCGACGACTGCGTACGCATCGTTTGGGGGGTCGAAGGAGCTGTCGTCCACCAGTTTCGAGGCATGTCGAAGCTCGCTCAAGCATCAGCCTCAGCGTCTGGGGCGTGATGATCACCACCACGAATTACCGGGTAACAAGGCAAGTTCTATGGGCTAAGTTCGTTAGAGAAGTCCTCGTCGTGTGTACGAGTAGTCGAGATCGGAGCTCACAGCTTTGCATGCCTCCGAATTCCACAGCAAAAGCCCACAGTGAGAGCAATTAGATGCAAGCCCCGGAACGCCACAAGTAAGAGCAGGTGGAATGAAAGAAATATACTACAAACGAGAACCGACGGATGGAAATGTGTGGATGCGGATGGATGACCTCAGTCCTCGGCAGAAAAAGTTCATCCTGACATATCACGCGCTCGGCTCGGGGAAACATGGCGCCGAGACCACCAATGCCCCGCCACTCCCACATTTCAACTACGCTTCAAGAGCACCATTATGCCATGGATATCACCAAATTCATAATCGACCACAGGGAGTCGGCGCTTCTTTTGGGTGACTACAACACATATCGAGGGCAGCTTTCCGGCCGACTGCGCACTGTGAGGAAAAAGCTTGGACGAGCAACAGGCAAGAACGCGAAATATGCCCCAAAGGCGCCCGTCACAGCGGAGCAGATTGGGAGAGACGTTGAGTATGATTTGATACAATCTTAAACGGCATTTCTAACATTATGCAGGTTTCTCAACCTTCTCCTTCTTACGTCCGAGCGAGCATGGGCACATGCAATGTTCATGAAGGCTTCTCACGCAGAAGACAACGCAGACAAGAGTATAACAGGCTCGACGCGTCAGCATATAATATCGAGATTGCACAAAGCTGTCATCTATGCAGAAGAGGTCGTTGGCCTTCTCTCGGACCCCGCCTGTGGAGCTACGGATACGGACGTTTTAGAAGCAAAAGCATACGCATATTCCTTAGCTGGAGCGAAAGATTTTGAAAAGCAGGCAGAAGGCATAAAAAAGATGAATGCGTCACCGGACAGGTGGAAATCATGTCTGACCAACTACTCGGCCGCCAGGGTAATTTACAACAGCCTCCTGAAGGCAACAAAGAAGGATTTGTTCAAAGATGTTTTAGCAGGGACGACCGACCCTAGCATACGTTATGCCGCATATCAACATCGAATTCCGAGGACCGTGGGCGTGTCCGCAGTGGCCAAGAAGTTCTTCCCGAAAGAGGAGTCGGAGCTGACTCAAGCCGTGGAGAAGCTTGACGCTAGCGCACTACAGGAGGAGGACACTGCTCCCTCAGGTGGAACTTTCCGCACCTTCAGTTTTACGTTTCTGACTAGTGTAGGTTCTACTATTGTATGGCGCAAACGGGCAGCAAACATTGTCGATGCTGCCATCGGCCAGGCTCTCGTTTTGGTAGAAACCGCCTCTGCTGAGCTTGACAAACAAGTTGGCACATCCATCTCACTAAAAGACAGAGCTGCTGCTTACGATGACGTTCTCATTACCAGCCAAGACGCTGCAGATGCAACACGCAGAGCCATTGAAGAGTTGGAGAAAGAAGGAGTTGACGAGGGTGACTCAAGGATGCAAGATCTCCGCGTGACAAGTCTTGCGGTGAACTACAATCTGGTCTCTTGGCGCGTTGGTCGAAATCGGGTTCTCATCGGCTCCGATGACGGGCTTATATTTTCTCCAACTCCACCTCAAAAACCACGACGGCTACGCAAGGACGGGAAAGAGTTGGTCGAGCGAGAGGAACCAACAGGCCGAAAGTTGGCAAGATTACGAGAACGTGTAGCACTGTACGATGCCATCCTACAAAGTATCGATTCGATCAAAGATTTGAGAGGTGCTGTTCGAGACGCTGGGTTTTTGGCCGAACTAGATGGCCAACGTGCGTACTTCCAGGCACTCAAATGCCTGAGCGTTGCGCAATCTCACGCTATCTTGTCATCTCCAAAAGAGGCACTGGCACTATGCAACCGAGCATTATCGCTCTCTTCGCAAGCCGTGTCCGCACCAAAACCTACACCTTCCGCATCCAAAGCTCCAAGGCTGGTGGTTTCTTCTGAACAGGCCGAGTCATTAAAGCAAAAGCTGGAGAATCTCACCTCGCATTATCGAGGACTAGTGACATTGATTCAACTCTCTGCCCACTCGGACATGGCAGTGAAAGCTCAGATGATTAATGCGGCGCCAGTCGTAGAGAGGCTAAACGAGTACCCCACATCAGGTTCCGTAGACCTGAAGAACCTTGTAACATGGCCACCGAAACTGAAGCCAGTACCAGTAAAGCCTCTCTTCTTCGATGTCGCGTGGAACTATATCGAGTATCCTGGACGAGAGAAGCCAGTCCAAGAGCCAGTACCAGATAAAATGCAGGTGGTGGAGAAGAAGGCAGAGGAACACCGGCCTGCGAAGAAAGGCTGGTTTGGCTTTGGAAGGTAGAATTGTCAAACATTGCGGGATCTTATCGTCAAGCAAGATATATTCGTAAGTTTAAGCTAGATAGAGGTGCTAAGTCACAAGTGACGCGTACTCTGGCTGAATTTACCTGCCGTTTTGTTTGTCCACTAAATCAACGGTGGTGCAACTCGAGCTACGATTTCCCCGTCTCCATTAGCTCACCCTCGCCTCAATCCGACGCTGATTGGCTGCAAGCCAAGCAGGCTTGGCACGGATGCTAACCGTATTCTGGGGTTCGCGCGCCGATTTCCCCTGAGAATCTTCGGATACGCGCCAGGAGCCTCTTGCTTAAGCGCCCCCGGAGATGGCATTGGACAAAACGGGAACTGCTTCAATATGACGAGTGAACGGCCGTCAGCCCTGCATGAGGGCCACGGATGGCGCTCAGCTGTGGCCGTTCAGCGTTGGCGGCACAGGGCGTGTTTCAATTGCCTCTGTCTCAAGTCACTGTAACCACAGGCCAGGATTAAGGCAACGCAGGGCGATCTTGAATGATGCCTCACTTGGAGGACGATCTCTGTACGACGGTCGTAAAACCGTCGGACTGAAAGGAGACTGGAGGGCGCTACGACGGGTTTTGAACGTCATGCAGGAAATCAAATTAGCACAATTTAAGCCTGGTAGTGACCGATATCACTATCGATGCCAGGGATGTGCGGGCCTTTGCCCCCTTATCCACAACCAGCCAACACGAGGAATTTGTACTGTACCTTGTTCCTCATTGCCGTGGACCCTCCTTCTTGACAGACTCTACTTGCTCCACGCTCTTTTGCATCTACTTTTTGCACGTCGTCGCTCTTTAACCACAAGGCTCGCTCCATCACGTCGCTCTCTTTCAGTGTTCTGCCCGCGCTCAGCGTTCTCCGTTCCGCGTTTTATTTTGAGAATTCCTGCACGTTTCTTTTTGCCTATCGAATTGTGAGAAGCGCACTCTTGCGTTTCTCCATCTCTAATACACAACGGCTTCCGCTCTGGCGACCACCATCCTCCCCCGGCCCACGGCCCTCGAATCGTTCCGTCGCCCATCTATACTTCAGGTCTTCGACCTGCCGGCCTTCAAGACGGCGTCCTCACTCGACGACAAAACACTGCCTTCAATAGGCCATGACATTTCGCGCCCGTCATCCACATCAACGGTGGCCTCGTTCACGCAACATCGACACGGCAGCCATGGGTCGTTCCAGCTACCTGCCCTCTCGGCCCTGGCGTCGGTAGCATCGTGCAGCCCGGCAGTAAACAAGGACAACACCAACGGCCACAGCAATGATAATTCAAGCCGCAGCACGCCGTCTAAGAGAGCGTCACCCCCTCCCAGGTACGTTGTGTGATGGACGTGTTGGACGCGGTGTGTCGACGTGAAAGTGTGCCAGCGACTGCCAAAGTTGGGGCAGGTGGGTGCGCGACTGGCTGCAATGGCCCGCCGGAGCCCACCCTGGCCTTATCGCGGCTTGGCACTAGCACCCACTCTCTCGCAGCTTTTCACCGTGACTAACACGTCTCTCCAGCAGACCCTCTAATGGACACAGCATGACCTACGCAACCGCCGCGCCCGCAACCTCTGGCGGACAGGCCAATTCTCCGGTAAGTTCGATGCGCGATGCTGTTGAGTCGCACCACGCCCTGGGGAGCCCCTCGCGAAAATCTCTTGCTTGCTTATCCTTATCGCGATACTTCGCAATCGATAGCAATATTTGTCCACCACCGCTAACGTCCATCACAGCCTGTCTGCCAGAACTGCACCACCAGCACGACGCCGCTTTGGCGACGCGATGAATCTGGCTCCGTCCTGTGCAACGCCTGCGGGCTCTTTCTGAAGCTGCACGGCCGCCCGCGTCCCATCTCTCTCAAAACTGATGTCATCAAGAGCCGCAACCGCGTCAAGACGGGCGGGCCTGGTGGACGCAAGAAGGTACACGTGCTTTTCCCATGCTGATGCTGCGACTTCTAACCATATTCCAGGGTGCTGAAGCCAATGGCCTCCCCGCCGCCCATCCGGATGCCGACCCTTCGCAAGTTCATATTCAGCACCGACGACCCTCTGGCAAGATCTCGTCTGGTCTCTCCGATCGATCGCAGTCGCCCATATCGCGCACTGGCACGCCAGGCCTTCCGCATCCTGCCAATATCGCCCCACAGCATATGTTCGATGGCGTTCTCCATAGCGAGGTCTTCCACTCGCCTTCACTACCGTCCTTCAACCTTCGGCAGCCGTCCCCCGGCTCCACCTCCTCCGTGAATGGCTCGCATCTAGAACCTCCGCTATCCTATGACGCCTTGGGCGCCCAGAACACGTCCCTACGGACACGCGTTAGCGAGTTGGAAGTCATCAACGACCTCTTCCGCGGACGTGTCACAGAACTAGAACAGAGCGAGCAGGAAGCGAGAAGGGGTGAGATGGCCGCACGAGAAGCGGAAGCACAGCTACGGGCATCAGAGGCACAGCTAAGGGCTGAGCTCGAAGAGATGAGGCAGCGCGACGCTGAGTTGAAGAGAAGGCTCGACGAATACGAAAATGAGGGTCCACGACACAAGAAGATGCGGCTCAGCGATATTGTTGACGAAAGCCGAGCTGGCACACCAGTAAGCTCCATGGCAGAGTAGTCACTTTGCCTGTCTTATCAATCATTCCTTTGAAGTTACTTCTAATGATAGTTTACGCACTGGGGATAGGGCTCGGTTTTCTTTCCTTTTGGCTGACATAATGCCTTCTTATGCTTGCTCCCACCGCTACGGCCGGTGTGGAGGCTTCGTACCTTCCTTTCTACTACCCTTTTTGAGTCTTTACGTTTCTATATCCACACCACGACATAGAGCCCCTGCGTCGACGCTCCAAAAGCTCCACCAAGGTCATCTAGACCAACCTAATGTTTGAAATACTGCCCTCCGACCATCTATAATGGTCTATGTACTCTAGCTATTCCTTTTAATCGTTTTGTGTTATTCTAGTGGGAGTTCTACAAGGACGAGGAGATGATGAGGAGATCTGATACCTTTTTGAACGAGGCGAGCTGTGGGATCAGGTGTGGGTTGTGTCCGAGGGTTTTCGGATATGACGGAAATAAAAAGTATTTTTGGGGGTAATTGCAATGTGATATGATGTTTTTGGAACATTCTTACTTCAAACCTAGAATGGCTAGCATGAATGATTCTTCAACGCTTACAGAGTCTTTTAGGAACTAAAGGAACGGTGTTTCTATTTACCAGCTAGTGAATCAGCTGCGGGGTATGAAGATACGTCTTCAACCTTGAGGGGTGTTATTCCTCTAGATTACTCTTCTAGACGCTTCTCCACCACCTCGCTGGATCAAGCATCACAGTGCCCACCAACCACCTCTGGCTCGAGTATACTCGCCGGCGTCATTTCTTCGGTCGAAGATGTCAATATTTTCAGTTCCTCCACTAGACTTCCCGATTGCTTGGAGATCTAAACACGACTTAGTAAAACCTCAGAACAAGTCTCTAGACTTGCCTACATTCTAAAACCTCTTCCCTATTCGGCCACTTCTCGTTGACTGCACTTTCGGTTCCATCCGTTCTCCTCCCCTTCTCTTTCTCCTGGCCCCTACACTCGAGCACCACTTCTGCATCCCCGTCAACCCTGATCTAGCTCAACATATCCAAACTCTCAAAAACCTCCTCCATCACCACAGCCCGAGGGATTCTCTTCGAAATTATAATGCTCACGCTCTTCGACGGTTTTTTTAGGCCTTCAATTACGTCTCTAATCTTCATGAAGCCTTAGACTTCCTTTTCCTCTTAATTGGCTCCCCAAGATTCCGCCCTGCGTTCTTGTCCACCTTTCTCCTTCCTAAGTACGTCAGACAAATTGCCAAACATTTCTTCACTTCCTCTCCATCTTCCCTCTCAGCACCCAGTATCATCCCTCCTTCCACGCCCCCAACATCCTTCCTCCCATCATGACTCGGCGCCGCCACCATAATCTCCAGCCTCTCCGTTTTGCTCAGTACGCTCTTCACTTCCTTCGGTGGACCGCAGAAATGCCCTTGCTAGTCGTGTCGCAGGGAGAAGTGGACTATGGAGCCACCAAAAAGGAACGAGGTGTTGAAGACTGCGTGGGTGAAGAACAGAGACTGCGAACGTTACCTAAATAGCCGGCTCGCCAAAAAATAAAGGAGGCGGGGGTGAGTGTGCCAGACGGGACCTACAGCGTGACGGGATTTTGAACTCGAGGTTGAAGGGTGGAACAGAATGAATATGCGGAAGAGGGGGGATGATTTTCTGGGATCGGATGAAGTTTCGACATCGGGGCGCTGTGCCCGTGATATCTATTGCCATTTCGACTTAAGCTCCCAACTCCCCTCTCGTAAGAAGGTTCGTAAATTTCCCTGTAGTTTTTGGTGGGTACAACTTGCTGAAATATTGGCACTCTTATATGCTTATAATAGGGAAACTATGAGGGTAAGATTGTAGAAGGATATGGCTGGGTGCAGGTCTCCCCACGTCACTATTGGTAGGCTGGGGACACCTTTCTCGAAATGGATGTGTTAATTAACAGAGAGCTGGGCACCAACAGCCGACAAAGAGGCGGAACTTTCTGTCTCCTAGCAGGATGTGTGAGCAGACATCTGCAACGCTGAACAGGTCATGGAACCCTTGATTGGGAACCACTGCAAGCAATATCATTTAATATATTTCCACGAAAAGCTATTTTATAGTACCACTGTAGTCAGCCTACAGAATTGCACTTCCATCCAACTGAGTCTTCACCCCTTTTGGTGGGTCCTGTTCCAGTGCTCTCATCATTGGCTCCAGAACTTCACACCTCCTCAATTGATCACCCCCCATCCTCTCCATCCCCGTTTCATTCGTCACAAAATGCATCCTTCTCCTTTCTTCATCCCACTGCTCCCAGACCGGCGTCCCTCTCATTCTTCCAACATTCGGATCCAAGTGTCTAATAAAGCTCGTCCAGTAGCTCCTCACCACCGGAACAATCCCTGCATTACTTGTCAAATAACTCTTTGGTGGATTCCCATCGGTGTTATTCGGCCCCCATACAGCGTACAGCTCGACTGTGTGATAAGCCCCAAACCCTTTGGCTTCTTGATCCGGGTCTATGACACCGTAACGGTAGTTCCACGTTGGCATCCCATCGCGAGCGAGAACAGACTGGTAAAAGTTATCGACACAGTGGGAGCGAAAGTCTCCGATCGCGTTGCTTGCTTGTATCCACAACTTTCCTGAGCTGGGGAATACCGGCGCTGTGTGGTTGAGGATGTACATCTCATCAAGGACTGTCAGAGAGGAGTTTGAGAGCGAGGGACACTGATTCAAGAAGAATGCATGGGCGTCGGAGAGCGTGTCCGTGGTTTGAGGGGCATTCTTTGTTCCCTCATCTGTGCAAGATCCAAAGATCGTAGGGACTTTTGCGTAGTCTCCTTTCTCGAACTGGGAGAAGGTTGTATCTGGGATTATAGAGCCGTCGATGTGTGGGTTGAACCAGCAGTTTGTTGTTTGCAGTTTTGTGGCATTGAGAGAGCGGAGACAGGATAGAGAAGCCGTGGAATTTGAGCATCCGGAGGCTTTCAAGAGACAGTTGTACTGGTCTTGGCCTTGGGCAAGAGTGCGGAGAGTTGGCTCGGAAGCCGATTCAGAAATTGCGCCTACGAAGAGGTTGGCGTTGCGAAGGGCTGGAGAGACCAGTAGTATGACAATGGATGATGCCCCTGCCGAATCGCCGTTCAGAACGACATGCTCGGGATTTCCGCCAAACTATAGCGGTTGGTTTAAACAGTTCTTGAAGCTTTGTTAGGTATGTACTTACTTTCTCGACGTTATCCCTAACCCACTCCAGCGCCTTAATCTGGTCCTTCATCCCATTATTCAAACTCCCTTCCTTCACCACCTCTTCCGACTGTAAGAATCCACACGGACCAACACGGTAATTTATCGAAACGATAACCATGTTTCCTTCTCTTGCAAGGTCACTACCATTATAATTCGCATTCGAATTACTCCCAAACCCACCCCCCTGGATGAAAAACATAACCGGCAGTTTTGACGAAGCCGTTGCATTTGACGGGGCAAATACGTTTAAGAAAAGACAATCCTCGGCAATTTGAAAGCGAGGGTTGGGCTTTGCAGACCAGTCTGTGGGGTTTTGTGGCAGGCAGATGGATCCGAACTACACTCGAGGTGAGCGCGTTTGGGTAATCTGATACAACTTGAGACAAACCTTTGATGCATCCTGAATGCCCGTTGTATTTAAAGGATTTTTGGGCGCGGCGAAACGCAGTTGACCAAGCGGTGGAGCTGCGTATCGAATTCCGAGCCATTGAGTCGTTCCGTCGCCAACGACTCGCCCCCTGTATTTAGAGTAACCTACATCCACCACAGTGTCGACCGCCAGTACTAATGTGCAGCACGCGATTGCAAGGACGCTCTGGGCAAGAATTCGGGACCGCATCGTCACTGGCTCTCCAATTGACAAATTCTGGCCTTAAGTTTAGGAACCGTAGAAAGAAAATTCGGGAAACACTGTTGTTTTAAACATCACGTTTCCAGATGGTGATCATTAAGCGATCCCAAACAAGCAATGCGGAGAATTTGTGCCTGATTCTGAAGGTGGTTGGTACATTAGCCGGTCTGGGGTAGATGACGGAACGAAGCTTGTCCGAACGACTTAGATTCATGTTGAATCATCGTTAATCTGGATTTTCTATATCCTAGGTTGACACGCGAAGGTTTTCCGAGTTCATGGGTTCGTTTGGTTGCACGCGTTATGCTATTGCATTGCAGTCCCGAAAATGCTGTATATGGTTTATTTGAAACGGAAGGCGAAGAACCAAAGGTATGATAATACTAACTAGAACGGAATATAGTAAAAGAGAAAGTTGCTCTTTAAATAACACGATATTGAATACAGAAGTGCTGATAAGCACAGGAAAGAAATAGGGACACAGAAAGGAGAATTCATTCAGACAGGAGCAAGATGGAATCGACACCAGCATTTGCATAAACATAATCCAAGCCAGTCCTATTAAGCTGAACACCCACAACGGCTAATCACATCCTAACTGCTTGCACTTCTGCTTCTTTGCTTCACATGCCTTATTCAACGCTTCAGCCTCACAGCAAAATGGTGGCTCCGGGGCACCAAAACATTTCGTTCCGCTAGGACAGGGAAGGAAAGTTGCGCAATTTGCTGGACAGCCATTGTTTTTGCACTGTTGCACCTTGTCACATTGCGCAGAGTAAATCTTGCAAATGCGATCAAAGTCAGTTTGGTCCGGGTTGGCAGCATTGGTGGATGGAACGACGATACCAGCCGCAGCGGAGGTCAACGTCTCTTTGCCGGAAATAGCGAAGGAATTTCGGCGGTAGTGCATAATCGATCCAACGTCGTATTTGCCAGTATGATCGAGAGCGGCGTCTGTGAGAATATCGAAATTACCTCTTTTCGTGCAGCAGCCTGCTGGGAGACCACTGTCGCAGCATGTCTTGCCCGCTGGTATGTTGTTACAGCCTGGATCGAGATTTTTGCAGTTGTAGTGGACGTAGCTTTCTCGATCGGGGCGTTGGTGCTCGTGGATTAGGCCTGATTTTGCATCAGCTTTACCTTCAAGGAGAGGCCGGAGGATTGAGACTTACCAAGTGCATGCCCGAATTCATGTGTGGCCGTATTGGCTCCGCATTGGCCCCCCCCGCTTGGACAGGCTTGCTGAAGATTCATTCGACGGTCTGAGTTTAGATATCCAATGGTGGAGTGGCATCCATCGCACTCTGTTGCTGAGATGGTAAGCACTCCATTTTCGCCCGCATTGCTATTCGGCATCACTCGCTCAAATGTGAGATAAGGGGCGCCAGTCTTCCAACGCTTGATTGCTTCATCAACAATAGCTTTTAGCTTAGTCTCAGCATCATTCGAAGCGTACTTGTAGCGGAGCTTTCCCCCAGGCCACTTTCGGTTATTGTTGGAGAATGACCGAGGCTTATAGTTTCCCCCCTGCCCTTTTCGTCGTCCAAGCAGCTGATCCTCTGTGCCATCGTAGAGGACATCTCCATCGACGATGACCCTTCCGGTATTTGTCACAAAGTAGCTTATGTCTCGGGCCCCGTAGAAATCGTCTTGTATTGTGAGAGCGGTAAAGTTCCTGAATTTTGGGCATAATGGGGAATCGTTGTCCTCCCCATAAGACCCCATACGAGGGTCGAGTGTAAGAGGTGAGCTTGGGGCGGATAACGAAAGACTGAAGTAGACGCTCAAAGAGAGCAAGACGGAGGTGGAAACGAAAGAGTACATGACGAATGGACTTGAATCCACTGGGTGTGTTGTAAGTATGCTTGCATAAGATGTGAAGACTTCTGGAGAAATCTGGGTACTCCAGAGATCTTAGTAGACATCCTCAAAGCGCACTTTAAATCCATTTGCAGAGCAATTGTCCAGCGCCTAGCATTTTTACGAAGCTGATGTAGGAAGAAACTTCATCTTTAGCAAAAAAGTCATGTTGAGCACTTTTATTGGCGGTTTGTCCGGGAGAAAGTCAATGGTGGTAAGATGTTCAGCTGGCTTCCAGACAACGATACAATTTCTTGCCATCCTGTGACATTCTGATTGGTAGGCACACTCCTTTGACCCTTGAGTCTATCTGGCTGTGAAAGGCAAAACTGAGCGCGAAGCTCGCTTCGAGTTGACAGCGTCCCTCCGAGATGTGCTCTGTCGGTGTCTTGGATAATTGATAAGACTGCTCAACAGCTTACAAGACTAGCTATGGCTGAAACCCTCTAAAGAGACTTCAGCGCCAAGGGTGATGACGTTGTCATCTTTGGCTCCTGGCATCAGATAACGAAATGAGAGCCAAGAAGAGCTGAGGATATTTATGGCCACTGTCTCGCGTATCGAGGAGGGCTATAGGCCAACCCCGCAAAACGAGCAGCCAAGGCAGTGTGATCTGCGAACATGACCTTTTCCTGACTTTCAGTGAGTATCGAGTGGTGTAGGTGAAAAGGGGGAAATTTGGACCGTTCTTAGGTTTGAATGCGCCCTGTCTCCTTGGCAAGGTGGACAAAGATAAGAGGAGGACTAGGAAAGTGTGAAATGAGTGTAATGTGATGAGAGGAGTGATAGTCGTAATGGATTTTGATAGGAAGGTGGAGAGTGGAAGGTGGAGAGGAGGGTTCTATTTGGCAAGCCCGGGTGAGCTAACCGACCTTATACTTTCCTTCTAACTATTTCATGACATCAACCTTAGAACCCGAGCTTTACTTTCTCTCTGAAACCTTTCTAGCACTTTCTCCATTGGAACCATGAAAACTGACCAACCAAGTCTGGTTATCTCACCCCGGCTTGGTGCTCCGATTGGCCCGATCCACTGGTTCAAGGCCTTACCGGACCTCAGCTGTCTGCTCTCCCAATACCAAATATGAACTTGATGAATTGAAGTACGTGTCTATTGGGCTGTCTAACTATAAGACTTAGCAAAGGCTCTTTTGCGTCAGAGTTTTACCACCACGAGGCTGTCAAGCCTCGTAAGTACGTTTAAACATGATTCACATTTAGGTATGAGGAAGGAAATAAGTGTATATTGGAAATCAGACTGTAGGAGCTCAGCTCCCTTTATTCCACCGCGCACCCAACAACCTCCCCACTTATAATGCCTAATACACCTAGAGCCGGGCATTTGGCCGCCATTCAGTGAGCTTCAAAGCGGCAGGTATCAGCTGTCGCAGATCAGGACGATTTCCAATCCTCTGTCCTTCTTTGGGACCCTGCAGACCATCCTGCTGCGGGCTTCCTGTACTCCGAACTAGCTGCCTACACTCCTCGCCCGTAATCGGCCGTCTACCAAAGTCTTTCAAGATACCCTGCGCAGCACATAATGCAGATGCTACAATAGGGGTCGCGGAAGAAGTGCCGCTGAATGTATCGGTGTAATATAGCTCAGGACGGCCACCGCCCTGGAGGTCACCATACCCTGTCGTTGTCACGTCGTATCCCTGACCCTGGCAGTCGACACGAGACCCATAGTTGCTGTACGCAAGGCGGCTTCGATCAGGACCCCACCAGGAATGGCCATGAGTTCCTTCGGGTGGCGCACCTCCTCCGACAATGACGGCGCCGGAGGAAGGGTTGGCGGTGTTGAACGGATTGGGGTATGAAGAGGGGAAGCCATATGCTGCTCTCGCGGTCTCGTAGATTGGATCATCGAGATTCTGGTACCCATTCCCTGCAGCCTCGACGAAGATTATGCCTTTGCTAGTGGCATACTTGATCGCGGCGAAATCGTCGGGCCACCATTCTAAAGCAATGAAGCCGAATTGTCCAGACCCAGTAGTGTTAGGACCTGGTCGGTGGAGAGACATGAAGATGATATCGCCAGGGCTCATCTTGTCAGCCGCGTTCTTGATCGCGGCAGCAACAGTCTGGTCAACGACCGAGCTGGCGCAGGAAATTGCTCTCGGCACGATTCCGGTTACACCGTATGGGTTCTTGTCTGCACCGACAATGCCAACTGTAGCCGTGCCGTGATTATCGGCAACAGGGGCAGTTCCAGCGATAACGCCAGATTGGTTCTCCATCAGGTCTTCGTGCGTGAATAGCCAGCCGAACTCGACGCTGCAGACCTTCATCCTCTCGCCCGATCCGCCGACAATCGAGTTTGCATAAGCAGCATCTACACCTTTGGGGGCAGGATCGAGATATGATTGGCGTGACTGATAATTGGGCGTTACAGAAGCTACTGCAGCAGTTGACACTTTGTCGGGTTGGGCGAAGATGGCCGGGGCTGCACCAGGCTTGACATAAGCCGCCTTGACGGTCCTTTCAGCCCTGAGTTCCTTGGCAAGCTGGTCGAGCTTGTCCTCAGCCGCTTGGACACTGTAGAAGGGCGTCAAATCTGGAGGAGTCTGCCCGATCTTCTGAGCGGTGGAAGATGCAGCAACTAGGGATGCCCGGAGACGGTCCTCATTTGGGCCGAAGAGGAGCTTCAAGGAGGCATTGTGCTTGCTCAGGATCGACTGAACTCCCGAGACATCGTTGCCAGACGAAGAAGCGACGGCGGTCATTCCTGGTGAGCTTTGTGCGCGCACACCGGCGCTGGACTCAAATATAACGATGAGCTCTGGCTTGCCCTGCTGTGGGGTCATGGCGATCTTTTGGGCTTCTTGCGACATTTTGAAGACAACGATAGACGAGCAGGTTTGAGAATGGTAAGAGGTGGCAATTTATTGATGCGTTGAGCGAGGGAGCTTTGAAAGGAGACATTATGATCGAGGGGGTCACGCTGCATTTATACACCCCTGCTCAGCCTCTGTACCTTACGAGCTCAGGAGACATCATGAGAATCTCTCAAGGTCCACGACGACATACGGATGATTCCATATGATGACACCCACAATACGCCGTGAAACATTGAGAAGGAATACAATTGGAGTTCACATGCGGAATCAGCCTGGGACGGAGGTAGATGCTGGTTGACTGAGGAATCGGTTGAGGGGATGAGCTGAGGGTATGCAGAGAGACCAAAAGCTGATGAAATGAAAGCGCCCCAATGCATGAGAGTTTCATATCGTGGAATGACAATAGGTGAGGGGAAGATGCAGCCTAGAAGAGCCGAGCGTTGTGGAGAGCGCCCTATGATTGGCATTATCCGCAGCTGAGGGAAGCCACGAACCACTTTCCCAAAGGGTGATGACGGAAGTTTCCGAACGGCTCTACGAAGGAGACTTGAGACTCAGGAAAAGAAACACCCATTCAGCTGAAGTAGATTCGACCGGCTTACTATGTGCCATGAAGGTTGAGCCAAGATGTGAATGCGAAGATGCAGAGGACAGAAACATACTCGATGAAGCCCACAGTTCGAAGAGTGGAAAATCGCACATCCGCGCTCATCTCTATCGAGTCACATCGTGATATGGACTCCAAACTACTTCTCAAGAGGGTCATGGAGTATTTCACAGGAAGCCTCGATGTGTCCCGGCAATACACTTTCAAGAATAATGGCGAACAAAATTCAAGTCAGATTTGTGCGCATCAGAAGTTATATACCAGAGTGAGTGAAACAATGATGTTGCCTATCATCGCAAGATGGTTGTGGTGGTGGTGTTGCGGGGGGGATCGGATGCTCCGGTGTGCCGGCCGAAGAAGCTCGGGCCCTCCTTAGTCACCCATAGAGCTCCCCTTCGCTTGCTGAGGTTTTTTCCTTCACCTCCTCCATCCTCCATCCACCCTCGACCTCCATCCATTGCACCTCCATCCCATCCCCAATTCATCTCCACTCCCCCCCAGCCTACCACCCACAATGGTTGCTATCGCTCGCTCTTTCGGCGCCGCCCGCCTGGCCGCCCGCTCGGCTCAGGCCGCCCCCAAGCAGGCTTCTCGGTTCGTGTCAACACAGGGTAAGCTCCATCGCTCGGGTGGGTCAATTGCATCGCGCAGCCATTGAGACTGACTGTTGTAGCCGCTGTCCGCTACCAGGCGCCCAAGAACAGCCTCGTCATGAACAACACGATGCGCAATGCTTTCAAGAACAACGTTGCCCGCAACGTCATCCAGTCCCGCGGCATTGTTGCTGAGTCGACCGCCGCCGCCATGGTTGCCGCCGCTAAGATCCAGGGCGCTGGCATGGCTACGATCGGTCTCGCTGGAGCAGGTGTCGGTATCGGAACCGTTTTTGGCGCGCTCATCCAGGGTGTCGCCCGCAACCCGTCACTCAGGGGCCAGCTCTTCCAGTACGCCGTCTTGGGTTTCGCTTTCGCTGAAGCTACTGGTCTTTTCGCTCTCATGATGTCTTTCCTCCTCCTCTACGTTGCGTAGAGCGGTGCATTCAGTGGCATTGGCACGGCACGGCAGTCGGCTCGGGCACTACTCTGCTATCTTCCGGGTGGAAAATGTTGGCGGATGGGTGTGTGCATACAAGACAACTCTTTTCCTATCTTAGTGGCCGGTCGGATTGTGTAAAACATGTACTTTAGAAGAGCAATCTGACGAGCAAGTTCCCACTTCACTGCTCCACATCCATCCCGAGGCTGAACGCCGGAGCTGCTGCTTCGACCGTGATGTGCGTGAGAGGTCCAAAAATGAGGCAATTGATTTAATCGAGTAAGACGGATGAAATCCGAGCTTCCCCAATTACGAATTGATGCCGTTGGATGGACATTGGTTGTTGAGTAGTTGCGTTGTGATAGAACTTGGCCGGTTCCGATGCCAAGACTCTCAACCTCACTTCTTAGGCTCGTGGACGCTCAGAGCCGCCACGCCCACCACGACGAGGAGGCTGCCTGCTCAGACTCAATTGCTTGAAGAGAGGCCATAAATCTCCATATCACACAAAGTACGGTCACTGATGGCCTTGGAAGCTGGTTGGGCGGTTCCGTCAAGACAACCCCTCTAGTCCTCCGAACTCACGCACTTCTCGCGAAAACGTACGAGCATTTCACTCTGAATACCTGCACTAACCTAGGCTCTATTCTCGAGGGTATGGTATACTTTCTCCATGCTGATTATAGATGCTCTGTGTGGAGGCTTCGCGAACAAGTCGGCCCCATGGACGCCCATATCTCGTGTCTGAGTCCGATTAGTAAGGCCAGATTCCGCTCTACAGAAGAGCTATTTGCTAATAATCTACTGACTAGGCATCTATTATCCGATTGCTCCAGCGCTTCGCTCAAGTCCCCGTCCTCCCTGTTGAAAGCGAACCTCCGCCATCTATCTACCGTAATACATGAGATCCCCAGAATATACATTTCCTCAAAACAAGCCTCCCGCTATCCGCAACCGCATCTGATACCACATACTGAAGCAAAACAAGCTTCGTGGCGAACCCAGCGTGCACTCGGCATAAACCCGTCCACCTCATACCAAAACTCTGCCACCCGAATCGTCTGACCCTGGCCCTCCTCCACAGCCACTCCCGCCTCACCGCGCCGCACAACACCCATCCGTTTCCTAACTAGACTGGCATGAAAGGAGATGTAGCCGCCAGATTTGTAAACTTTGGGTACGAGACTAGGTAGGTTGAGATGGTGTGGTGTTTCCGCGATGTTTCAGAAACGCCTCAAAACACTGCATGCATCACTTGCCCTCCAAACAAGTTGCAAAGCATGTCCGGATCGGGGATTCGATTATGAAATGAGATGGGGTTTCCATGTTTGCCGCGGCCTTGCTTTGCTGCGATGGAGGAAGACGCAAAAGTTGCTGCACGGCTGCGAATGTTCCGTGAAACTTCAAACACCATCCATGGCACCTATTCACCCATAGGGTGTTCCAAAGCCATTTGAGAAGCGCGAAGCCGAGGAGCTGGCTGGCTGCTTTCGGCGTATATAGGGCAGATGGTGCCCAGCGAAAGAGGGCGTGTAAATAACTACATCTACAGCCTTCTAATTGTCTTCCTGTGCAGGTCACGTTCACTACATATTCTTGTCCATACTGCTTTCTTATCCTCCCGCTTCATCTAATACAACCATCTTCTGGTCCCTATCAGCCCGTTAATCAGTCAATATGAGGTTCACGGCTATTATCACTGTCGCTGCTTTCTCAGGGGCCGTCTTCGCTGCGTCAGGTAAATCACTTGCTGTCTCCAGCCTTTGACCAGAACAATAGACTAACATGCTACAGCCAAGCGCGACCCCCAGGACGATGTCGCCTCTATCCTCGATGCCCTCCGCGCCAACAACCCGGAAGATGCGGACGCCGCTGCCACGCTCATGAAGCGTGACCCCCAAGACGACGTCGCCTCTATTCTCGACGCCCTCCGTGCCAACAACCCCGAGGACGCTGATGCTGCTGCTACCCTCATGAAGCGCGACCCCCAAGACGACGTCGCTTCCATCCTCGACGCCCTGCGCGCCAACAACCCCGAGGACGCTGACGCCGCCTCCTCTCTCCAGAGGCGTGAGCCCGAGCCCCAGGACGATGTAAACGCCATCTTGGCCGCTCTCCGCGAGAACAGCCCCGAGGATGCCGACGCAGCTGAAGCGAGCATCCGCAAGCGACAAGACGACCTGGCCTCGATCCTTGATGCGTTGAGGGCGAACAACCCCGAGGACGCGGATGCGGCTTCTAGCCTTAGCAAGCGGTGGTTGTAGATATGATGCTGCAAGCTCGATGCTGATGCTCTGGAGATGCGGTGGTGAGGATTGACTTATTGATTGATTCAAATTGTTATGGTTGTGGAGTAGAGTGGTTTGACGAACTTGTATATAGCTTTCTACAAATGAATGGAAAATGACTTGGGTACGGTCTCACTAATTCACTCTTTTTGCCCACCTGATATGACTTGGCTTGTGCTGGTTTTGTGGTAGATGGAGACTGCTTAATTGATAACATCAGCTCTGTCATCCCTTGCAGTTTCTCGACAGAGAAGGCGATCCTCATGCTCATGTACTCTAACCTAGCAGAAGCCTGATGAACCATTGACTATTTGCAGCTGATAGCGTGAATGATTTCGGGGACTCCTCGGAAGCATTTTGAATTAACAGGAACGCATAGCCACATAGAACTGTAGTATGAATAGATATAACCGAAAACTTTGCCAAGCGGGTATGCAAACGCGTCTCCAATACTTTCGATGATCTAATGATGCACTGACCTATTAAAAAGTAGGAAAATCCGATTCATAGATGCCAAAGCAGCTAAACCCGAGTATGCAAAATTTCCAATCCATGCCAGATGCCCAAACGAAGTCAAAGCCTTCCAAAGCGCAAAACAAAGTAAATATGAATCCGCGAGCGCCAATCGCTGCGTACATCCAAGATATCATAGGGTATAGTACATGGTTAAACATTGAGAGTCATAAAGTATAATGGAACCAACGAGATATCAAGGTAAGAAGATGGAACGGTGGGACCATCATGTGACATATGGGGTCTAATAGCATTGATCATAGCCGTTGTGCATGCTCCCCGGTGGCCGAGGATTTCTGTTTGGAATGGAAAGGTTCTATTAGTACTGAGCGGTATCTTGATGCGTCTGGCGGATGGGGTACGTTTGTGGAGGGACTTCATCCATTTGCCCCTGGTTCTGGTTGGGACTGTGCACGAATTCGAGAATCTCGGCATGCGTCATCTGGGTTGGATCAAGTATTCCTAGATTCCGATTGGTGATGTTCCTCCAATCGTACATCTTGGTCTGATTTGTTTGACCTACGCTTGGTAGTCTGTGGCTATGGATAGTGTTTTCCACGGGACTGTAACGCTCAGCCTGGCCGCTAACCCACATCTGAGAATTGTCCACGAGCGGGGAGTTCGGCCCTCCACTAGGCAAATACGCCGATGGGCGAATCCCAGGTTGGATGAACGGACCCCCAGTACCCTGTGCCATAGAAAGATGGCCCTGGCCGTGAGGTTGGAAGGTATTCTGTGTAGGCGAGAGCATTTGATGTTGTGTCATGAAAGGACTTCCCAAGGGCTGGTATTGGTGGTTGGCCCCGCCTGTGGCTCCGTGTGGGCTCATGTGGCGGGAAGAAGTAGGAAGGTAGCTTGGGCCTGGACCAACAGGATCCACATGCGAGTGGGCTGGAGTAGAGGGAGATGCAGCAGTCGGCCACAATGATTTATCGTATGCGCCGCTACCAACGCCCGCTAGTTCCTTAGGTTGAGAGGAAGGAGACGGGTGTTGTGCTACACGTATTGATGGATTGTTTTGGATTGAATTTTGCTGGTGTGATTTGACCTCAAGTTCTGCCTTCTGAGCGAGTTTGTACGCGTCAGACACCAGCTTTTTTATTTCAGCTTCATCATTCCCATCAATATGCGTAAAAGGAACGCTTTGGTCGAGGGAAGTCTGGCCACTATGGAGCTTTCCTCCCAGATATTGGAGCTTCTCCAGAAGAGCACAAGTTTCATGGGAGAGTTTCCATGATAGTCCAAGCCGCAGACTTGACAGGTTCCGTTTCTTCTTAATGTCTTCAACCTTGTCGCCGACTAACCGCAGACAGGGCCGCCTGAGGTTTGGCTGCCCTGAAAGAAGGTTGGTGAAAGAGGCATTGAATGACCAATTAAGACGAACAGGCTGTTGGCTGTTAGGCTGGCTGTGGTCGCTAGCGATGTGATGAGCGAGTTTCGAGGGACTGAGAAAAGCGTTCCCTTGTAAGTCTAGGTTATCGTCGCATGGGCAGTATCCACAACCAAGTAGATCAGTCTCTTGTAACCTGGTACCTTCGACCGAGTCTTGTAGATGTTCTTTCAAGATATGATTTTCCAGAGACTTCTGGTTCACGAAAGGCTTCGGTCTCTTGCGGTGAACTAGGCAAAAGGGGCAATGGCGTTGGACGAGTACTCGAGGCAGGGGGGGGCGGCGCCTCTTGCCTAGGGATTCCTGGACCTCCTGAGAAGGCTCTGTGATGTCCGTTGAATCCGCATTGGAGATTTCAGCATGAGACCTCCTGCGGCTCGTTGATCTTGAGCTTCCTTGTGGGGTGTTCAGGTGGTGGGGGTGGGAGTGGGGCTCCATGTTCGTGTCGGGGCTGTTATCGATAGGAGTTCGTCTACCGCTGGACCTGACTATATTCCGACATCAGCAACCACTCCTCAATAGATGAGCCTTAAGAGGCCTTACTGGTAATAATATCAAACCATGCCGACAGAGTAGTCTCGGAAATGCCTTGGAGCGGATTCAACGAGCCTACAATCTTGTCCTTGCTTTCTGGGTCCAGAGCACCGACAAGATCAGTTGCGTCTGAGAAGCCTCTCCTCAGTAAGACGTGAATACGATCTTTGCTCCAGCCGTATTCAACCAGCGCTCTGAGGGCCAAAAACTGCTGTGGGAAAAGTGCACCCTCCACAGCTGCAGCTACAGCGGGGGTGCCGGGTGTGGGAGGACCAGGGGGGTCGCTGGTCGCCATCTGGTAGGCGATGGGATGGGTGCTGGTGAGGTCTGAGGCGAAGAGATGTGGTTGAAGGAGGATCTAGAGGGCGCTAAAGCAAGGCCAAACAGCGCCGACAGGGTGGTGAGGAGTGGTGGGAGTGGTGCGCAGCAGAAGGGTCACGGCGGGACTACGTGCGACTAGCGAGCAGCAACTAGTAGAGCAACAGTCGGGTGGTGACAAATTCAAGCAGAACCAAGGTGAGCAGTCGAAGACGCGTGCAAACGGATGTCTGGCTGGAGAGAAGAATAGGACGGGGCCGCGGGTGAGCTGCATAGAGAATTCCAATAGCTCTGACGGTGACGGAAGCTGCTTGGTAAGGAACTAGGTGGTGTGGCGCGTCGTCCTGTGGCAGGGCTCCATCGGCCCAATCACCACCGAGAATTGGGTCAAGTGACCAGCCGAACTATGCCTGAGGCACATGAATCAGCGCTTTTCCCCCGAATCCTGGCGCATTTTCTGTTTCATACCTCACTTTTCGCTCAAAACTTTTCAATCTTCCCGAACAATTCGCATTGACTTGGAATTATATATATTTCTACTGTTCACCAGGTCCCATTCTCGCCCATTTCGCTCCCTTTGCTCTTTCCATGCCTCACTTCTTGGGTTTGTCGTCGTTTTTGCCTAGTTTGCATTCGTTTCTTGATTTGGAACGATGAAGTTTATTTTAACCCTCTGCGCTCTTCAGCTTTGCTATTTAGCGTCGTCGTCTTTCTCCAAGTCCACGTTGCACTCAGGTCGCTTCTTGTAGTTTTCTTGCTGGGGTTTGTTGTTCAACCTCCGTTTTCATCACTTTCGTCTCGACATTCTCATGATGCACTGACGTCATCGCGTAAAAATTTAGATTTTAGAAAGGTTTTCTTCCTGTCTCATTCTCAAGCTAATTCAATGCTTTCAGATAGTTGGATAATTTAGCCTCTCTATCAGAGGTTTGTTGTGAAGCATCTGAACTGCCTCAATTCTTCATCAAGCATGAACGAAGTCGCTCCAAATTCTCCCAGCGTGCCCTGCACTTCATCAACTCCCTTCGAAAACCTTCATTTCCACCTTGACACTGCCTCTCGACGCGTAGTCGATGGCCGCCCTCAACCATAGCTCTCATCCCTATAAACCATCTAGCTTGACAGCGTCAGCCATCCCATTACAGAGCAGACGACCCTCAAAGAAACCACATTGCAATTCGACTCATCAATTCACCTCAGTCAGGACACTCAAGCGTGTATATTATCTATCGTCTCATCCTCGTCACCATGCCCTGCAACAACACCACAACTGCCGCCTCCAACACCGAATGGCACGCTGATGGCGACACGGCAATTGCTATTGCTTTCGGCACCATTGGACTTTTCCTCTCTGGCCTGCAAGTGCTGTTCAGCTGGCTTGCTCTCAGAAGGGGCCCATAAAGCTCCCCAAGTAAGTAGCTTCATCCAACTCAGTTTTACGCAGGCTGATCTAGAATTGTATAGAATATCATATCGACAAGCTCGGAATAGGACAACAATGGTTTGGTGGAAGTGCATTACGAACGCATTGACTGAATCGTATGTGCGAAGCGTTATTGGATACTTAAAGGTTAAACGCTTTTCTAGGCAGTTGTTGATGGGTCAAAGGCGCATTCAGTCTTCAATTTATTGTATTTTAGTGTTAGATTCTATGTCCCTTTCTCTCAACTACCCTAAGTGTAGACGATTTCATGCGTGCACATCCTCAAAATTATATCTGATGGCTAGTGTTGACATTTCCCCTCTCGATCTGCCGTTCTCATCCCTCTTGTCACCAACACCCTTAATCTACCGTTATTCCTACCTCGTCCTCACTCTCCAACATGCGGAAAAGCACACAAACGGTCGGACAGATCTCCACCTACCTACACACGATCTTCATCTGGGTTCCACTAACCATCTCTGTAAGGGCCTTAACTGAGAGCAGCTTACCATACTCTATCCATATCCGGATGGAAAATCCTCATGCACAGAGACGCGACTCAAACACCATCCCTGTCCCTGTATGCACGTATGGCATGCATCCCGTGCCCATCCATCTCTCATCTCACATCTCGCAAAACGAAGAGGCAGGGGTAATTTAGTCTTATCAGCGAGCACACCATCCCGCTGGGCGTGGGGGTCCTCGGGACGCCATGATTGCGATTGCAGAAGTCAGCGACCTCTCACCCCTAGATGACATGTAGGCATCGCATTTGCAGAACGCGAGCTTACACCCCTTTCCTGTTCCAGACCACACCACTCCCTGCAGTCCAGCGTAAACAGAACCTTTCCCCGCTCTCATCACTCGGGTTGACAGACCCCGCTAGCTTAGGTGCACGACAAACATCAAGTTCTGCGCCGCCTTCGCCGTGTATCGCGTTTGCATGCGGTCATCTAGCTCTAATCAGGATTCCCGATACTCGAACCGCAACCGTCCGCTTTCATCTGTATAGGGCTACCGATTTCGCTAGCGTGTCTCGCTTTCCCCTGGAGTTGGAGACGGGCGGGCGGACGGGGCACATCCGATCGTATTGAACGATGCATTTCATGCGGAGGCACACGTCAGATCAGATTAGTGGAATTGCTGGTTTGAGTGGGGAGTGCGTGGGGTAAGAAGGCGTGGAATGGGGATTTTAAAGACGGTGTTGGGAAGGAATGTATGGCTTGGCATGTACTGGCAAGGTATCCTATACCAGATTTGATACGCTACATCTCTTGCGAGAAGCGAGGAAAATGCCGGCAGAATGCTTGTTTCTTCCCTGAAATCAGATACCCGCTCTGTCTTTCAAGTTAAATGTTAACATGCAGTAGAATCAGTAGTCATTGACCATTAGGAGGCGTTTGAGAGAAGAGGACGTCAATACAACTCCAGAAATTTACTTGAGAGGTACCGTACTTGGTTAAGAAGAGTGTCATGAAACCCATGTCCTTCTGCCGACTACATTGAAATTTTACAAATTTCCCATACCCCAAAGAAATCCTCAAAAAGCAATAATTAGATCGCATCAACTACATCGTGGCTCCCGCAGGTGTATTCCCATCCGCATCCAATACCGCACCCTCCTCCGCGTCCTTCGGCTTGATTAACTTAATGCTGACCTCGGGATCCTGAGAATACACCCTTAGTCCCAAGACACAGACCGCATTCCACGGATTCTGTTTGTTATCTGCTGCAGCAGGAGGATTTGCTGCAGGCTGAGGGGCAGCATCACCCGCAACGCCATCAGGACCTGCACCGACTGCGTGTCCTGCAGGTCCTACAAGTCCTATAGGTCCTGCATCGTCGCCTGAGTCAGGGGTAGCTTCGCCCGCGTCGTCGCTGTAGGTTGTTTCTTCCGCCTCATTCTTCTCTGTCTTTCGGTCTTGGTTCTCAAGGGCCTCTGACTCTTTCTTTTCTTCAGGTTCGACTTTCGCTTTCTCAGCAGATTCAGTTTCCGTTTCAAGTTTCTTTTTCTCACCAGCCTTATCAGAAGTTGCTTCTTCGTTCTTTGCAGTCTTGGCATCCTCCTTTTGTTCAGTTGCAGATTCTCCAGTCTTAGCCTCTGCCTCCTTCGTTTCTTCTTTCTTCTCCTCCGTTGTTTTCTCAGCAGTCTCTTTCGCAGCATTCTCCTTTGCCTCACGCTCCCTCTTTTCCTTCTTCCACAGTTCAAACTCGGCCTTCTCCTTCTCCGCGTCTTCTTTCTCTTTCTTCTTCTTCTCTTTTGCTTCCTTTTCTTTCTGTGCCTTCCTTTTCTTTTCCTCTTCTGTCATCTCAATCACGCCCTTCGCATTCGCAATGTCGTAATTCAGTCCAATCTGCCTCAGCTTCTGCGGGTTCCTATCCGCCACCTTAGATACCACCTCCTGCACCTCAGGTGTATCCGCATCTCTAGAGGCCACAATCTTGGGCACGACTTCGTACTTTCCGGGCTCGAGGTCCACTTCGGCTGAGATGGAACGATTGCCAAACCAAGCCCCACGAGCCCGCACAATATGCTCGCCGGCTTTGGCATTCTCGTCTTGGAGGACGAAGTGAAGGTCGAAACGATATTTGCCTTCCAGGCCACGGAAGTAGCGGTCGTCCAGCTACAGACACTTAATATGACTAGGCTAGAGAGGGGAGGGAAGGAGCTTACTTGGCACAACACAAACACAGTTGGACCTCCTTTCTTGATCTCAACCAGGAATTTAGTGTTCAAGTAACCGGTCACCCACGACACACTGACGCTGGTCCAGTGCTGAACAACAGTCCAATCCTTGTCGAAGAGACGAGTTCGATCAAGGAGATCAAACCTTTTGCAGAGATCGTCGTAAGACATCCAGAACAGTCCATCGTCCCCGAAGCGGTATTTCAACTTCTCCATCCAGTATGGTGTCCATTCCTTGGAGCCGTCGGACCACGCACCATTCCATTCCCCAACTCCGTTCCAGCTCCTCCTACCCCATGGGTTCCTGCAACTGTCAGCATACTACGAGACAGTATTGGGGCAAAACGTACCTGATGAGAACTAGGCGTTTTGGTTTACCCTCCTCGTCTACTTCTTCAACTGCTTTAATTACAGAATAAGCGTGGTTGAGTGCAAGACCTCTTCTTGCATCCGAATCGTCCCCGTATGACCCAGGAGATGAAGCAGAAAAGAGAAATTGCTGATTGACCTCGAGTAACTCCTTCCAGAGGCGCTCCTTGCTCAGAATCCGGTTGGTTAGGACCTTTGATGTTACACCACCGGTTAGATCCTCGACTGCCTCACCCGAAATCCCACCTGCGATAGAGTTGTAGTCTCCGTGAACCTTGGCAAAAGCCTTCTCAAGCAGTGGCAACCAGGTCTCGTTCTGGTCGGCGCACGAAGCAAAATACAGAGCATCGGAGCCTGTCTGGCGGTTCTTCTTGTACTTCTGCTCCTTTTCGCCTGTGGCATCGTAGTAGTCGCCCCACGCGTCAAAGTCCTTGGAGCTGAGATAGAGATTGTCGTCGATGACGGTGGAGATCCATTCCCCGTCTCGGTAGAAAACGAAGCCGTAAACACCACATTCCTCGTCCTTCTCGACACAGATCTTGTCCATAAGCTGCGGGTTGCTGCAGATGGTGGCCACTGCGGCAATAAACCAGCAGTCCCCATTTGCTCCCTGCTGGACATCAGAGCTCGAGAAGCCGTCAATGGTGAAGGCAGGTTTATCGAAAATCCAGTCAACGCGATGCACAGACTGCGGCCCGTCGTTACCGTCACTACCATCACTATTGTTCAAAACTTGCGTGACGGCGTTGATGTCAACATTGACCATTGTAGTACCCAACACATTACTCTCGGCTAATGTCTGCAGCGCACTGCTAAGTCGATCTGGGCTTACGGAATTGCCACCACCGAGAGACTCATAGTAGCTACTCATCAATCCCCGTAGACAATTGTCCATTCCCATGTCTCCCTCAATGTCAAAATCAGGATCGGTGAACTTCTCATTAGTGCGGTGACATTCGCGAACGATTCGCTTGACACGGGCGCGGCATTCGTCGGCAGCAGCTTGGTACGACTCGGCTGCGTTTCTTCCTTTTGCAAGACCAGGTTTGGTCTGGGGAGGCAGGAGGCTGGAGTAGAGACTCGAAGGGAAAATGTTGGTGACTTTGCCTGGTTTCTTGGTGATGAGGTTCTCCCAGAACTCGTTTAGCACGGTCTGGGGGTCTTTGGAGCTACCTGCGTCGTCCCCAGAGACGGAAGACATTGTGCGATTGCGTTTTCAGAAGACCGCGAAGCAAGAGTGAAGTTTAGGAAAAAAGACGAGGCTGATGTCCAGAGGGCTACGTTGTGATATTTAAGCAATCATTTAGTTGGGGGCCAAAAGGCGGACAATTAGCATTAGCTTGTTTGGGGCAGTGTGCGGCTGGATGCTAGCTTGTCCCACCGTCTTCATTGGCGGTGAATGTACCGTGGTCAGTTTGAAGAAAATGTTAGTTTCTGCTGCCTGAGGGCGTCAAGATGCGTAGTGGGCTGAGCAGCCAAACCTAGGACCTTCCATTTCAATGGATGGGGGGTGAGCGTCCTTCAGGGGCTGCAGGGAACGTCCGGTGATTTCAACACCGGGCTACAAAAGAGCAGAACTTGTGCACAAGTGTAATATTGTCAGCCGGCTACGGTTTATATATAAGTGGACCGGTAATGTTGATAGTAGTAAGGTGTGAAATCTTCGGGTCTTGGAAGCTTCCAAGGCTGCAAGTCACTGGTCCGCTCACGTGATGCGGGGTTCGCCCTTTCAGACGAAAATTCCAAGGCTGTCAGTCCTCCTAGTCCGTCTACCCTTGCTCTCTCTTTCAGCTATTAACCGGCTCTTCCACCCATCTGCAGCATTCCTTCGCGGATTGTTCAGCTCAGTACCCCGCATTTAGTGCAGGCTACGTCCAAGAGGCTGAAGAAGCGATCAAATGACGGCCAAATAGGCTCGCCATTTCTGCCACATCCGGGAAAATTTGCCAAAGAAAAACAAACTGTCTTCTTTCACCAACGCCATGAAATATTCCTCGGACTCAAAGGTGTCTCCCCAGTAACTCCGCTGGCTGATGCGATGAATTAAAGGCAAGAGGGCCCGAAGCACGCAGGTGCATGACGGATGGTTGCTGGATGCATCTCACGCTGAAAGGGAGACGGCGTTGGAAGGGGTCAGGACTTAGGAGAGTCCTTCTTTCGTGTTCTGAAATGGGCTCGCTTCTCATCAAACCGCAACAGGTCGTGAGATCTTGTTAGCGCTGGTTATGAGACGAATCATCGAGGGAGACTGCATCTGGGGAATTACTATTGTGTAATAGACTCTGGTGGAGCAATTGTAGAGCTAGAGGAAGCCGCTCAGACGCAGACAGGGGTCCTAGTCAAAGCAAAGACACGGGTTTTACAGGAGGTCGACTCGACTTGACTCTGCTGACGTCTCCCCAGGCGATGACGTGAGGTAATTAGTCCCATGCTTCGAACCACCAGAAATGGCAATTGGACGTGTGACGAGAACAGAGACCTTGCCATTCTGGTCGAAGGGCGTCTCCATCGCCGGGTGGCTGCAGCGGTTGAGTCGAGACGGAGATGGGCCGTGAACTTCTGTATTGAGCTGCCAAGGTATCTTCCTGGGGTGCGTGAAACCGCGTCCCCGCCCAGTCTTGAAAGCAGATGGAGAAGTACATTGAGAGTGGAGCAACACGGCTGGGGGGGCTTGAGGAGGTGATATGCGCGGTACCAGATAAGGCAGTGACACAAGAGGATTAGAGATTAGGATGGGAAAGAAGACATCAGGCCGCCGTGCAACAATTAACTTAGTCAAGGTGAGGAAAGGTAGTACAAGAAGAAAAGCCAACTGGTCACTGCTGAAACGCTCACTGCGAACCAATGAGGACGCACATTAAGGCGTCAGCGGGGGCGCACCAGAAGGAGCGTCGCCTACCGGACCACACGGAAAGTTCCCCCCCACGCCACCGCTAAAACCGTTCCAGAGCAAAATGCTCTTGCTTTTGTTGTGTGCACCGATTGCGAAAGAAGCCCAGTAGGAGAAAACGAGTCGTTTCGAGAGTGCCGCCTGTTACTCCAGAAGGGACGACCGAGTGCAGAGCCACCGTGAACGCCGTGCTAAATCCTTGCGAAGCTGACTGGACAATGACCGAGCGAGGCCTGAAGACGCCAAGAAAAAACATGGGAAATGGTATGCAACTTTGGTGGAATACGAAGGCAGTAGGCGGCAGGGGTCGGGAGAGGAGGAGTGCGAGAGATCTCAGGATCCAGGAGCGCGGTTTCGGGCATGGTATCCCTGCCCAGTGCCGTCGATCAGGCAGAGCACGCCCGCTCACATCTCCTCACATCTGCGATCGAGTCAGCACATGATCGCCCACTTGCCTGCATCCGCACCAGCGCAGCTTTTCCTTTTGCTATTGAAACGCACCCCGACGAGGACGACAGATAACGCGCAGCTGCGACAATGCTTTTTAGCATGGCGCAGCCTCACTGCTGCAAATGGCCAGGCCACGTGCGGCGTGCGTCGGCGGGGCAAGGCGGCGAAGGAGATGGACGCACTTACCTGTCTGGGCGCACCCTATGCCTTGGCTGTGCAGGGCCGGCACGTCTTGAGCTTGCAGTTCTGGCACTCGTAGATGTACCAGTGCGGCCCTGAATGGCACATGTTGCAGTTCCAGAGAATTAGAGTCGTGTCCGACTTGATCATCTTGAATGAGTGCTCGCAGGATCCTGGGACGGCCATGGTGTAGTGGTGGTGCTGCACGGCGCAGTCGAGTCGGTTCGGCAAGGTTGGTAGGGCTGGAGGCGGCGAGCAGGGCGGCGAGTGCGGCGGTTGGGGCAGGCTGGATGCATGTCAGTCGAAGTGATTGGGGCGCGACGTAGATATGTACTCTGGGGAAATACGGAGCTCAAGCTCAGGCCGACTCTCTCAGACAGGCCGTTTGACGCAGACGTGGGATGCCTACACCCGGCCGAGGGTGAGAGAAGTAGTCTTGAGTCGTGGCTGGAGAAAAGCAAGCAGCGGGCAGATGCAGCGCTCCACGGGCAGAGTCAGGCAGAGCCAGGCAAAAACAAGCTCGGATGAGAAACTTGATGGTGGTTTGGTGAAGCTGCCAGCGCGGCGCTGGTTAGTCTTATACTGTCCAGAGCATCTCTCTAAGGCTAGCATGACCGTGGCCGTATTGATGCTGCTATCTCCACCGCGCGCGTACGACCATCGCAAGCGTGCTGCCGTTGCTGCCGTCGCTGCCTGTACAGTGCCCGAGGGTCAAATGCGGATGTCCGCCAGACGGATAGAGCAAAAGATACACTACAAGTCGCACACCGAGGCCGATTGAGAGGGTTCCTTTGCGATCCTCCCTATATCACGCCTGGAACGGGAAAGCAGGAGATGGAGCTTGTCAGACTTGGGCTGGCTGGCCCGCAGCCGCGGTCATGGTAGCATCCCTCGGGCACGGATCCTTGTTGCAGGGCCTGGTGGTGATGGTGGTGCGCGCAGATACATGAGGGTGCCTCGAGAATAGCGGCGGCGCATTCGATGTGTCACACAGGACCAAACGTGCGCTCCCCGCGGTCGTGATGATTCTGCGCCGTGATTTGTGAGGCATCACTTTTTCACTGGACCGCGCGCCAGAGTCAACCAAGGCAGGCCTGGCAGGAAGTAGCATGGTCGCTGAGATACGGCGTGCTGCAAGCATTGCCAACATTGCACCGGCCCGCCAGGGACCTCGTCGCCGGCCACAGAGCGGCCAGTCCACCGCTCCCGACGCTATGGATTGGGTTTGGGGCAGAGCTGGGAGAGCTGGGGTCGGCAATTAAGGTTTGCAGAAGGTGCTTTTTCTGCTACCCTGCTCCCCCTTCCTTAGCACGTTAACCTCAATTCATCCGTCGCTTTTTCTCGCCAAAAGCACCGCTAAATTGCTTCCATTGCTTCTGCTTCTGCCTCTGGCCCACCGCACATGGTACCCTCCCAAATTGGAGGACTTACACGTCTCCTTTGAAGCACCACGGCAGAAGCGGTCAGCCAGTTCACAGCTCCTGCCAAAACCAGCCAGTTGCAGACGCCTCCGGGCACCGTTTCGCCTTCAGTCTTTTCTGTCCAGCGCCAGTCAAGCGCTTGCTTCTCCCACGCCTTGCCAATTGCCAGAGCCAGCCCACCTGGATCGAGGTTGGCGAGTGGCGGTGGTTGTGGCTGGACGTCGGCTTGACTTCCCCCGCCGCCGTGAGCCCTCCTCCGCAATGCCTCCTGCCAACTCTGGAACACAGCACCACAGCGCTATTCTTGTCGCCCCTGTAGCTCCCGGCATTCGCCTTCTTGGAGATGCGCAGTAAGCTGCCCGACCCGGTTCAGCTCGCGGATAGACGGTTACATGCAGCCTCATCTCATGGGGGAGCTGGTGTTTGAAACAACGCCCAGGTCCCAGTGACCAGTCATATCGACGAAACGGACCCTCGCTATTGAGCCTCCACATTCTGCATCGGGACCCGCCCTGCCACAAGCGGTGAGCTTCTCTCAATCAGCAAACCTGTGGCTTGCAGTCGATCCATTGTCTAGGCTGGGCATTTGCTTGCTGCTCGCATGTAACTTGATCGAATCGGTAGAATTATAATCAACGAGGTAATGAGAAATTTGGTTCACTGTGTACAAGCAGAGGCCACGGCCGCTGTGAGATCTACCTCTTGACATAGTAGCCCAGCATTCCAAAATCATAGCCGGGAGAAGCTCGGTCGAGCCGACATTCCATACTTGTCGGCATTCTCTGCGCATTCTCATCAAACTGTGCTTCAAGTTGATCATAGGAACATGTCCCCCATCCAGAGACCGCGTAGGGACCTGCATGCCTGGTATCTTGGGTATCATCTGCGCAGACAGGTTGTTTCTTTTCTCAATCAGTAACTCGCCTCTCCATCCTATTCCTGTCAGGCAGCAAGAAAGCATATCCTTATCTTCACTGCGTCAGCTGCCTTCACCACTATCCTAATCGGACTAGTTAGAGCATCGTGGGCAAAGGCTGTGGACCCTGTCTCGCGATCCACTCAACTAAATGTCAAAATATGGCGTGAAAGTCAAGCTAGGGGACTATCGTTGGGCTATCTTGGAAAAAGAAGAAGGCTTTGGCGCCAAATACCCTAGGTTACACGAGATCGAAACTGAACCTGGTGGCCGGTTCCACAGATGCAAGATCGGTGTCACCATCGATTTCCCTATGTAATTCATGGCGCCCGTGGCGCTTCCCCCGGACAGCTGCGCGTCATCCCCTGGCTTTGCCCGTTTCCGCGGCCTTCAGTGGTTGCATTCCACCGCCAAGCATTCCAGACTTCTCTCCACGCGAAACACCGCGTCCCATGCCTGTTTTGAGAGCTTTTGGCGCGAGCTGCGTAGTCAAACCCAGGTTGGAGAGTGAATCCAACTAGGGAACGTAGTAGCCTTCCCTGTCCCTTTCAAGCCCTCGAGACCTCAGGTGATGGGCTACGAAACACGACTTCAATCCCTCCACCACGACAACTTCCAAGACCATGTATAGGAGACACTTGCACCTTATCGTCTTCAATATGGCCCTTAATATTCCCACCATATCAGCCTCACAAGACGTCGCTACACCATACAACGGTCCGCGCTTCGATCGTGACCGTACTCAGGCAACCAGCAGCAGAGGATAGCTTCCGCTCTCTGGTCAAACGGAGCACTGCATCTCAGTTTCTAAATTTCTTCCGCTCTAACCAGGGACCCGGAAGCGGATCAATCTCGTCCAATGCATGGCCACGGTTCTACATTGACTCTGTCGTGCGTGCCGTTTTCTGTCATTTTGTCATGACAATCAATGCACCGCGTCGCCAGGGGCATACCTCTGGACCATCACTTCCAAGTAGAACCATTAGTTCGGGAAGCTAACGGCTTAGTGTAGCTTCAATGGTGGGAGTGAACGCCGGCAACCTGTCGGGGCATTTGGCCATAGCCTTACAATCCTTCGGCCGCCACCATTGCTGTGTCTGTGGAGTCAGGAAACGGACCATGTCCACCCTGCCCACGAAGAGCCATTTTTCCCAGTTAGGGTGCAGCCTTCGGTCGCACAAGGTCGGCGACATCCGACTTTGTCACGCAATAGCTGCCTTCCTTATTGGCTTCACGCACCGCGAGATCCTCCTCACAATCTCTCCATCCTACTTAAGAGTCCTTGTATCATGAACGCACTGACGGTACATACCTGGAGGCTCTTGTATCACGACTCATCCTTCACCGCTCAACATCGAGTACAACCATCCAATGATGGTGCTAGCCAGATGCCATCCTGCTACCTGCCGGCCTCTCTTTTTGCGCAATGCTTCCAATGTTTCGCAACGAGTACGATTTATCAGCTCCTCCACTTCAAGTCATTGGTATCTCCAAGCATCGTCGCATTATCATGAGCGGTAGGGGAGGCGTTGTTCTAGCCAGCCAATTTTCGCCCAGCGAGCTGCGGTGATCGATATTTCAACAAGCACCGTTCCGTTGCTATCACGGTACCTTTCGGCTACTTGCTGAGAAGCACGAAACTTATTATGAAGTGCAGGAGAAGCAAATGATACACGATAGGTTGAGAGAGATGCACAGCAGCTCCGGTCTGGCCAGACACGGGTGGCCAATCGGGTCGTTTCCTTGTGGACGACTCTGCATGAAGCAGGGCATCCAAATCTGCAATCACGAGCAGCAAAAGGCCGCAAGTCCCGGCATCCCCAAATCAATTGCGAGCCCTCGAGCATAAACCAGCCTTCCTATTATCAGGACTTCAGCTACCAGAGAGGGAGCTGGAGATAGAGGGTATCGATCCTACAATTAGATTCAGACACGTCTTCTAAGGTTCCACGACTTGGTACGCACCAGCGGTCGAACTTGTGCCCAACCTTCTTGAAATGACCAACTTCCTCGAACCCATGTTTGACGTAAAAATCCCTTAGCCCAAGGCCTTCCTTCCAGGCCGTGTCATCTACCGACATACAGGCCATGACCATTCTGACCTTCTCATCCTCGTTCCTTGGAGTGCAGATGTATTCTGGATACTGCTCGGGCGCCTTGAGAACGGCAAGAAGTTTGTTGAGTAGGAGTGGTCCGACCCCTTTGGCCGTATAGCTAGGATGGCAGAAGAGCGACAGTTCGACCGTGTGTCTGTAGCCCTTTCTCTCACCTCTGAATCCGGTTGCATAGGTGAAGCCAATCACTTCCTGCTCGTCATTCACAGCCACGATGTAGGGTAAGCGCTCATGGAGGATAGCATCCCGCTTACGCAGGAGCTCGTCCCGGGAAGCGGGTGTAAGGGCAAAGGTGATGACCGTATTACGCACATAGTAGTCGAGAATGCTGGTGATGGCGGCGATGTCTGCAGGAGAGCACGGACGGAGCGTGGCCGCACTTGAAACCATGATTGGAAGGCAATGTGTCGCGTGCCAGCTGTTCAAAAGCGTAGTACGGAAGGCGCGATGGGGGCAGGCATAAAGAGAACCAGCACGCACCTTCTGCCTGCCCTCATCGGCCCAAACACCCCCAATTATATATGCAATTCCCCTTGACATTCACTCTTATCGATAGCCTGCCTATTTCGCCGTCTGACTCCAAGAGTCGTCTGTGCGCCGCCAAGCTGCATCCCGCGCAACCATCCCACCTTCCGACCACCGACCACCGACCATGGACCGAAATTTTCCCCCACCAGGCTCAGCTCCAGCTCCAGCGTTCGTTCCAGCTGCACCGCTCGATCTTCCATACCTCCAAGTCCTCGGTCCCCCCAATATGCGTGGTGCCATCGTCTTCAGCGGCTCGTCGCACCCCCAGCTTGTCGATGGCATCTGTGACAGGCTTGGCGCGAAGGCTGGTTCTGCCCACCTCACCAAGTTCGCAAATGGCGAGACCTGTGTGCAGATTCGTGCGTGGCCCAGTCAATGCTTCTATAACAGCTTCTCACGCTCGCAGACACTTCGATCCGAGACCAGGATGTATTCATCGTGCAGAGCGGGAGCGAGAAAATCAACGACTCCGTCATGGAGCTGCTCATCATGATCTCTGCCTGTAAGGGCGGCTCGGCCAAGTCCATCACAGGTACCCAGCCCACCCCAACCTCCTTCCACTGCAGCTCATCATGCTAGCTGTCATGCCGTACTTCCCCTACTCCCGCCAGTCGAAGAAGAAATCGCATCGCGGCGCCATCACCGCCCGCATGGTCGCCAACCTCCTCCACGTCGCCGGCGTCCACCATGTCATAACCATTGACCTGCACGCCTCCCAGATGCAGGGCTTCTTCAAGTGCCCAGTTGACAACCTCGTCGCCGAGCCCCTCCTCGCCCGGTGGATCCGCGTCAATGTCCCGAATTGGCGAGAGGCGGTCGTGGTGAGCAAGAACCCGGGCGGCACAAAGCGTGTCACCTCTCTTGCAGACGCGCTAAAGCTCAGCTTTGGCATCGTGACCACAGATAGGCGTAGGGCAGCGACGTCGGTGCGCTGGAACGAGAGTGCCATATATGAGCGGCTGGGTCTCGACGGGTCTTACGACACCACGGGCCTTGTGGAAGCCACTTTTGATGTAGACGCACACATCACGCCGCTTAGCAGTCCGTCGTACAATCCGCGCGCAGAGTTGGGTAAGCCAAAGCCTCGGGCACACGCAGGGTCGACCCCACTCCAGCGACGGTCAGTGAACGGGGAGGCTCTTTCAAGCCCATTGTCGAAGTCGACGCGTATCAACTCGGTAACGGAACCAGAAGCGCCGCGAGAGGATCTCAGGGTAAGCACCGCAGGCAGTGACAAGGGCGAGGAAGAGAGCGGAGATGAGTACACTGATGAGGTTTGTTTCCGCCAGCTTGTGCAATTTAGTGTGCTAAGTTTTCTAGCGTGCTCGAGACGTCATCCACGGTCGCCTCGTTCACGGACATATCGTTGATGAAAACCACCCCTCCCCCGCCATGTCAGCCGTCTCAAGCTCGACGTACCACCGGAACCGCCCACCATCCGACGGCGAGAACGATGCCGTTCCCGACCACATGATGTCTTCCTTTATCTCCACCACATCTTCCCTCCACCAACCGAGAAACTCCGAGCACGCCCTTGGCGGAACAGTCGATGCCGCGGCATCTTCGGAAGAAGAGGAAGAGGACCTGAAGAACCCTGAGCTGGAGACCATGGTCACTTTGGTTGGCAACGTCAAAGATCGGCCGGTTTTCATTGTCGACGATATGATTGACAAATCTGCGTCCTGGATTGCCGCAGCGGAAACCGTCGTGAAGCGAGGCGGGGCGACAAAAGTATACTGCATGGCCACCCACGGTCTTTTTGGCGGTGACTGCCTTGAAGAGATGTACTACTGCGAATGTATCGACAAGATTGTGGTCACAAATGCATTCCCAATCCCGGAGAGGAAACAAGCAGAGGCGAGGGAGAAACTTGTTATTCTTGGAGTTGATAATCTCCTGGCTGAAGCAATTCGTCGGAATCATCACGGTGAGAGCATCTCTCAGCTTTTTATGCACATAGATTGAGAGCGGCTCAAGACTTTGGGTAATTGGGTAATTGTTGTAAAGCTACGGCCTAGGGCTGGGTGGGCTTCTAGCTTCATGGTGCGATTAGCAAGGCGCTAAGGTATTCACATCGGAGGCCATGGCGTTATTTGGTTATTATCTAAGAAGGTTAGGTGGATGGACGGCGTCTCGGAGGAAACCATAGCTACAACTTGTATCCGGTATCAGACCAGTAAGTGCAATATGTGGGGAAATCCATTCAATAAACAAAATCACTCATTTCTTTTCTGTCTTTTCTAGTAATACTCTCTCATAAGTCTGCGAGGCTTTCCATGCGCAGAGAAACCAACGACGCAAGGCGTAGGTCTTGCAGGAATGCCGTTCCTCATACGGTAATTCTTAACGGAGCGTTGGGATATCGATTATTCGAGGATAGAAGGCATGGCGTCCGTGACCTCTGGTCTAGGGGCGTTGTGCAAGAGAACCCCTCGTATATATAATGTTTAGAGCATGCCTCTTACAGATGGTTCTATAGTACCTTTAGAATCTATTAAGATGCTTGACACTTAAGCAGCACAGTAGACCTACAAATGTGGAATGTGGAAAATTCTCCAAGCCAGGCAAAGGGGGCGGTCGACTCATACCGACCACACGACTGCCAGAGGCATTGTTGAGATAATGGATGGAACTTTTTATCCGAGAAACATTGGTTATGTAATAGAGCGCACTAGTGGCCTTGGGTCACAAATTGGCTCGACATCTCGGTCTCTCATCAGCTTCTTAACCGCTACAACACGGTATCCACATTGAGGCACTCATCGGCTCTAGGCTCGCTACATTACTGAATATAGTACAAGGTCCTTCATTGCTCAACTGTTCGGGATCGGATATCTTGTTCTATTCTTGCACATCCATTCTGCCTGAATACAGCCTGGTGGCCTGGAGTGATGGGCGGTCCCCTTCGCCAAACCCACCTAGGCCCTACTGCTGACAAAATCCTCGCCATTATTGACACCAAAGTCCTCCGTATCGAAACTATTCCCGGCCAGATTGAAGAAGTCACAATTCCAGGGTACAGCAAATGGGTCCCTACAGGAGAGGCCTTCATATTCCGGCTCCCGGACGAGCTCTTGGTCTCGATTGTCGAATTAGCAACTCTTACAGGTAGCCCCTGGCGTGGATGTTCTAGATGCGAACCTTCCTGGAACGCCAAATCCGCAAAATCATTGTCACAAGTATGCCACAGAATAAGGCGTATGGCGCAGCCTTTGCTGTTTCGTGTTATTTCATTTGGAAACCCACATCAAATGGTAGCTCCCACAACTCCAGTCATCAAACTACACCGCGTACTACAACGGACACCTTCACTTCGCCAGCATTGCAGGTGCTTATCTATCCATATTTCCGATATTTTAGCAGCGCGCTCGCCGCATCATTTTGACATTGTGAATGACTTTGCGCGCTGGTTAACGAGAGTGCGGTGTCTGAGTGTCCATGGCGGGTTTGAAGAAAAATTCAACAACCCACATACTTGGGCTTTGATTCGGAATCTGGTCGTTAATATGAGAGAGGTTGAACATGCAACAATAAGTAGAGAGTGGTTTGGGCTCTACCTGGGACCAATTATGAGAAATATTGAGTTTCCGAAGCTGAGAGAGTTGAATATTCATGGAATTTCGCATTCGAAAAAGGAAATCACAATCCTAGATCCGAAGGTATGCGTGAACTCTCTCTCTCTCTCTCTTCCTCCATCCCTCTTCCTTAAACTCTCGAGAAAGGGGACATGTTAGGCAGAAGATGATCACCCTAAACTCAAGATACTCTAAATACTTAGTTGAAATGCAGAAACACCGCACCGCATCTTTCACAGCCCTCTCCATCTCTGACTATGAAGAATCCCCGGGATCCACGGCTCTCCTCATCCAGTGGCCCACCACTCTTGTTCACTTCGAATTCGGGAGCTTCTACAACAACCCCCACATCATGGACCTCCCCATGTTCCAGTCCTGGCTCTTCATCCATCGAGAAACCCTTAAGAATATTAACATTGGCTACCTCTCGCGCGCTGGTAGTAAACGTCTCTTTGACGCTACATTCTTTCCTAATCTCGAGTCCTTACAGCTATCCAGGTGGCAAATGGAGCGTCCACTTCAATTTACTGCGGAAGATGCCAATGTATTAGGACCGAAGGTAAAGCTGTTTGGGTGGGACTTTAGCATCTATGATCAGCATAATGAAGGTTGGGATGACTTTGGAGAGAACGAAGAATCCTGGATCTCTGAGCTTGGAAAAGCCGCCGTAGCAAGGCAGTCAAGCCTGAAAACGATCGCGATATATTTTGGGCCGGACCATTGGGGGGCCGGGAAGAAGGAGAGTTATCCTTGGGATCGAATGGATAGTGTAAGGGACGGCATTATGCGGCCGAATGGCATGGATCTGGTGTATAACAGGCCGTGTATTTCGAGGGAGGAGTGGTTGGCGGAGAGGAGGGGCGGGACTAAAGCGGAAAGCATTTCTCTGTCGGATCTGAATATGCAAGAAGCACCAGAATCAGCATCAGCGGATGAATCAGAGTCAGAGTCAGACACCCTGGTCATGGCGGAGCCAGGATTCTATGGAAGGGATATTCGGTGGTATTTTGCTCCTGTGCAAAGGCCCTGGAATATTTCCGAGCTCAGAGGTTAGAAGGGGTTTGTAAGAGTGTTAGAATTTGTTAAAATCAGTTCGTAGTGTTTGGGCGTTTGCAAGCAGTCAGCGAAGGAACAAGTTGTGACACTTGGAGCAGATTCTTGGGCGCAGAATTCCATCCTAGACTTCTCTTGCATTCTATCCTTAGTGCTCGATGCTCCAGACAGTGCATTAGTATACCATTTACATGTGGTTTGAAACTATTGAGGCGGCCATGTTGGAACTGGTAACCATCGCCGAATCATCATCCTCTAGCATTCGCCTTCGTCTACATGATTTAGGTCTCAGATTTCCCTCGCTAGTGGGAGCCGCTGGATCGCTAGCAACGCCTCTGTGTTTCAGCTGGATACCGATAGCGGGCGAAGCTCGGTTCTCATTGACTTCCAAAATCATAGAGGATTGCTGAGTTGCATACGAATACCTTTTGTTTCAGCACTACTATACCTGTTCACAGCTATTCTCCTGACAAATTTGGACGTAACCAACATTTGCAAGGCACAATATGTAAGCTAGTAAAAGTAGGACTTCTGAAGATCTTAGGTCCCGTTCAGGGATTGTCGTAAAGAATATGTATCTCGTATGGGACCAATAGGTATCCAAACCCTGCACTACATACCTCATATGCGGGTTTCCCGCTAAGTGAGGTCAAAACGTATAATGACACCTAGACGACCACTCCGAAGATGCCGTTCATTGCACGCACACCCAGGTCTCCGTCATTTCCCCGCACACCTAGGTCTCTGTCATTTCCCCGCACACCTAGGTCGCCGTCATTTCCCCGCACATCCAGGTCTCTGGAGTTTGACCACCGGTGTTGCACGCCCTCTCCACTCCCCTGCCTCAGACGCCCCAAACGGACTGCCTCATTTGAAGAACTATGATAGCGGAACGGTATATATACCAATACGGCACATACTGTCGCTGCTAGAGGCCCGAACATCTGTATTCCTTCCGTCGCATTCGTGGTATTTCCTACGAAGCCAGCGATGAAGTGTGCAGCCAAGAGTAAGCTGCAGAACAAGTACCTTCGTTCCATTAGCACGAAATTAGCATAGCAATGTGACTACTGTGGGGCCTTACAGATGCCTGTTCCGCGTAATGCTCATATATGAGCACGTCAAGAAGGCGCAGTACGTCGATACCCACAGCGCTCTTACCCTATGACATTGTCACCTTTCGACCTATAGTGTCTGATTGGAGAACTTACACCCAGCGAAGAACATCGTAGCCTGGCTCCGATTGCAGCGGCACCAGAGACACTCCCGCCGACGTGGACACTACTCCGGTAATGGCTCGGGCACTCGCAGCCCAGCTTTGACCGTTCAACAGAGCGGCAGCGCAAGGGATAATGAGCACGGCTGCCAAGCCACCTAAAGGACAAGTAACATCTATCGATATTCTACCACGATGTCTCCCTTCCGAATCTCGTCTGCCCTTCGTCAGCCATATGCCGGAGTATCGATACAGTGGTCCCATACCCGGAATATTGGTTGCCATTCAGGGCTGTTTCCATGTTGAACGGCTCTTGGCTGTATAGAGATTCGAAGTGACAGTGGGAGCGAAGGCCACTCTCCGTCTGAACATCGCCACCGCGGCCAAGAAGCCTTTCGTCTATGCTCAAAATCTTGTAAGGATGCGTTATGGAGTGGCTAGATATTGGCTGAAGAGGGAATCGTTAGCACTTAAAGAGAAGAGTAAATTTTGGGGATTTTCGAACCTCATCGATCAAATATGGCTTGAAATTCTCCTCTCTTGTGCGAAAAAGAAGCTTATCGGCTGATCTGAATATCTTGTGACTCAAATTAAGAGGATAGTGGTCTAAAAGTAGATTCGGTACTGCGTGTTTAGCTGCCATTTCCAAGTTTGAAAACTTTGCGGATATTGATGTACGCCAGAACGTCGAGAAACGTGTTTCTTGAAGGCTCTCCGTCTGGACGGTAACTCTACTTCCAACTTGTGCCTTAACGAACTTGAGGAACGTTGGTGTTAGCTGTCAGAGGTATGGGGGAGGAAAGTTGTGATCTGTTGTTGACGCCCCACTCGAGCTTTCGGGTCGAAACCTAGGTCCGTACAATTTTCCAAGGCACATCCTCCAGGGCACAGAAACCTAATTGTGTGGAAAACTTAATTTGTGGCTGAGTTCTGCGACCATAAAATCCGCCCAGGCTGAAAACTTGGAGTAGCACGAATACATTCACCGGTATGGTGCTGACGTGGCAAGGCAGAGTTACTTTCGGCCTTGTCGCTCAGCTTCCCAAGTGCGTTGTGCGCGACGGTGGCTCTCAATACCCGGCCTATTCTCTCTCCATTTCGCAATTAGACCTGCAGGCTCTAGTTAGACATCGCTGGCTACCTTTCGACCACATTTTGTCAAGACGATACGTCGCTGGTCTTATACTTGGTTGGCATGCTAGCAGTCCAAGAAAGAAACATATATACTTCTACCCAGGAAGGCTGAGCAGAATCTCTTCAATCACAACACTACCGCGAAATGGATGTTCAATCTATTGCGGACTTTGCACTAGCAATTGGTAGGGTTGCTGCCAGTGTTTTCAAAACGCTTGACGCATTCATTCTCTCTGGAAAGGAGTTTCGTGAACTTCAGCAAGAAATCGGGTCGCTAGAGCACGCTCTCGCAGAAATTACGGCTATCGAAAGATCATCGGACAACGTGGTATATGATGAAAATCCGAGACAAGAGATGGGACGATATAAAACACTGCGGGAGTTGTCGCAAAGCACCCTTTTGGTGGACATGATGAGCGTCATGCGCAAGCTAGAGGTTTGGCGAAGGGATATGATGTATTCCAAAAGTCCCGCAGCCCAAAGGCAAGAGGCACGAGAATGGCAGGAGAAGCTTGGAGAGCTTAGAATGAAGTTGACAGTGTAAGTCACTGAAATCAGATGCTTGTGTTTGGATCCCAATACTAAATACGACGCAGTCTGCAAGCAAGCACTTACCTCAAAGACAACTCAGACGGCGCCAATAGCACCCAGCCGCTTTGCTTTTCTGAAGGGGATATATCAGAATCACAACAGAGGCAGCTTCAAGGCTCCAGTGGCCAGGGCGTTAACGCTGGTGCTTTCAAGTGCACATTCCCGGATGGATCTGTCTATAAGGAAATACAAGAGACCACACCCAAGTATACACATTTGTCTGAACGTCCCCAAGCTTCAGCACACAACTACGGTGAGATCGCAGTCAGCCTCGCTTCTGCGGTCACCAGTGCAACTACTGCGATCTGCATGCAAAACTACAGCCAGCTGCACAATCAATGGAGGCATGGCAACTTGCATCAACACATGCCCCCATTAGTCTCCTTAAAAGAACCCTCTCCGGCCGTCTTCGTCGCAGCTACGATTGCCCACGGACTCGCAACGTTCGTGTACTACATATCTCGCAATACGGACAGATATCGCGAGTGGTTCCTAGGGACGGGCGCACTAGGTGCCATGACAGTGGGCGTCATGACAGGGTCAGGTACGCAGGGGGTTTTGGTAGGCATAATGCCACTGGCTCTGACCATTTCGCTGGTGTTGTGTACTGCCTCTAATATTCTCTGGTATTGTTACAAATGCTATCAGGCACGGCACAACCGAACAGTTGGGGAGCAGCGGGATGAAAAGAGTGGTGCGTTAGAGAATGCCTGTTGATTAGGATGGCGGTTTCTCGAGTACATATCACAGATTGGTCGGGTTACTAGAGTGTGGTTTTGGCAATTAGACCAGAAGGCATTGGCAGCCGGTCTCATTGTAATAGTTAGCTTCTAGAAACTCGAATTGCGTATTATGCTTTGACAAGACGGTTGCAAAAACCTTATGGCCAGATTGGTCCAATGTTTAAGGTACCTGGTGCTTTTACAAAACACCAGTCTTAAGAGGGAAAAATAGGGCCGAGCACTCCATAAATCTAGGAACCTGCAAATTAGCCAGATAGTAAAGCCTATTTCAAGTTATCTGCAAGTCAGAGCATCCAGCGACGGAATTACACACGTGTAGGTGGAAGGAGTGGTCGATTGATCCCTAGGGAAGGAAGCTCGTAGTGGCTTGTCAAAGCCAAGTAAGTAGAGTCACGTGACTGTACTTTAAGGGCTCACAGTGCTGACGTTGATTGGGCAGCCAGGGTAAATACCTGTAAGAGAGACTTCCTTGCAAGGCTTCGGCGGGTCAAAGGTAGTCAGGTGGAAGCGCGCATAAAACTTCCTTTGGAGAGCTATTGGAAAGGCTATCATGTTGAAGAAACTCAACAAATGGAATGTATTCCCAGGGTGTCTGCTGGTGAGATGAGTCTAGTATAGCCGGTCTTCGTCACTTGCCCTCATTCTCAAAACTCGGCTCGGAAAGTTGTTCTCGTAAGTCTTTGTCGGATTGGGCATTGTGCAATGGAGCTACTCATGCAGTATTGGTGATGATATGAGTATAAGCATTGTCAATATCTTTCTAAACATAGTAGAGCCACAAGCCAGCCTGATATGTTTTATATTTAGGCGAGAGTCGCGAGGCCATTGAAATGAGCTACAGTCGTTTAGATCAAATTGAACATGGCACTGGGCTACTCACTGAATCTGTTGTTTTCCCAGTCGTAATTCCACCTGTGCCGGAAGCCTCGGCTAGGCTTGAAGAATCTCCTACGTGAGGGGAAGCCCCTCCAATGGACTTCTTTTGATCTGCAGTCTCTCCTCGCTCAGGTGGCCCTGGTAGAGGCAGCGACTTGTTGAGTTCTTTGGATGCCTTGGTTTCCAGGATGTCTGAACTTAAATTAAAACCAGGGTACTTTACAGTACGAATGGAGATGATCTCATTTAAAACGACTTCTACTGCTGCTTTGGTTTTGGGGCGCTGGAACATAGGACATGGCCTTTGGCAATAGTCCTTGTTTTCTGTGACCTTCTGATGCAATGTTGTGAGTTTACCCAGTATTTCGCTGGATTGTGACCTCCTACTGTTTTTTGAAAGGACGACAATCATGTTATCTTCGATGATATCGAGAAATTCGTGGAAGTACTGAGTGCACCTGTCGTTACTATGAAGCTCCGCAATGAACTAGAGTATTATTAGTTTCGGAGCTCGAAAAATGCCTTGAAAGCGGCCATTCTTACTTTGGAAACTTGGCCCTTCACCTTCATGGCATGACCTCCACCTGGGAGAGCCATGGTCTCAAAGAAGTGATCACTTTCTATGCCAGTAATGTAAGGGCCCAGTCTCATACGGGTAAAGATTCGTATTAGGTCAATGCCGCCAAGAGCCCAGCAAACGAACTCGAGTAGGACGCATCCGAACGACCAGATATCCGATGCCCTAGAGACTTTTCCGCCCTCAATGTCGAACTCCGGTGGCCGGTAAGTGAGGGTCACGGGTAACCCTGCCGCTAGTATATTTGAGCGACTGTGTTCGGTATGAAATGATGAAGAACCAAAGTCGGATATAACCAGTGTCCCTCTACCCCCTTGCGGATCCTCGTAGCAGAGTATGTTTTGAGGTTTCAGGTCTCCGTGCCTACCATATTCGGTATTGGGTAGTCGCGGGGAGTGGATACTATCCAGAGCATCCATCATACCAAGAATTTGACCAGACATCCAACGCACTGTTTCAGGATCTATGCTTTTGTCCTCTGCATACCACGACGGTGCATGGGATTTATCTGCCCAGTAGGCGAACAGATCGCACTCGGCCCAAGGGAAGAGCAAATAGTAGTCACCTTGGTAATTCCAGGTCATTAAGAGACTGACTAGGTGATTGTGACTAAGGCGTTTCAGCATGCTAACCTCTCTCTGGAACATCTCTCTCGTATTATGTTCCTGTCTTTGCTGTAGCCTTTTGATAGCAAAGACGTCTTTCGTTTGAATCTGAACGCAGTGGTTAGATCCCTGTGCACCATCTCGAAAGGAATTTAAAGGGCATTACCTTCTCTAGTATACCGTCGAAATTATGGGATTCGGGATGTATTTTGACCTTACTGACGTTCGAAAACCCTCCGTCCATGGAACTAGTATACATTATAAATGGTAGGATGGTCTGAGTTGGGAATTCTACGTGCTTCACTGGGGTTCTGCCGCTGTAGCAGCTAAAATATGGTACGTTGACCTGGCGCTGGTAATTTAGAAATGCGTCGCGTTCGTATGCCTTCCAAGTCTGGAAGCAGCTGAGTGAATGGTCAGGGGATCTTCTGCATGAAATTTCAAACCGATAGCGGGTTCCGGTTTTAATTAAAGGCAAGTCTTTGTCACAAACACCTTCGTCAATAAAAGCCCCAATCTGTTGTCCCTTCTCCAGCAGAGCCAGAATTGCGAAGATCTTCAGGTACTGGGATCTAATTCGGTTCGTCAATTTTGTTACATTGCGTCCACGGAAGAGATCTAGGTTCTGTTTTCGGTACTCTCTCAGTTCCGTGGCGATTCGTTTCTCACTCAAGATCTTCTTTAATGCACCCAAAGGCCAGAACGCTTCTAAGCGAGGGTTCTCGATTTGGACGCGCTGGTCTAGAAGAAGGATTCCGAGGCTCTCGTTGTCCAGATTCGTTTCAGGATTGACCAACTGCGGCTCTGGTGATGCTAGATCGGATTGTTTTGTATATGTTTTTGACTCCGCAAATGCGCGGATGGGAGTGAGTTGTAGCCCGAGGCATTGTACCGCAGATTCAAGATCCTTTTTAAGGGCATCTTCCAGGGTCGGACTACACAACTTTAGCTTAAGTGAGCCTAAGTAAACAAATTGCAAAGCCTCTTACCTCTTCTTATGTCCTTCCTCGCTATACAAGAGACGTATATTGTTCACACACTCGGCGATGGCGTCCAAGTATAACCGAACAGTTCCCGAAAGGAAAGAGTCGTGAAATTCCACCGAATCGAGCAGTCTAGAGACGGAAAGGTCCACATTTTCATCGACCCTGGGAGCATTGGCGCCTATTGCAAGCCAGTGAACGCTGTTCTTCCAGTGCCGCACACTTATTAACACGTCGTGCAAGTGAACGGCAACGTTAATGTCCTTCCATGCCCAACCGGTGCCTTTTTCAACCGCATGCTCAAGATCCATTAAGATGGCATTGCACAAGTCACTCAGTGGAGTCTCTTTGTCCGTTGAGCCCTCATCGGAGTAAACATCATTGGAGAGAGGATCTTTAACTGCTGGGGGGGATTCGCCGCTCATACTACCTTCCAAGTCACTTTGGTTGGTTTCCAATCTTGAAACCATAAACGGCACGAGCGCCTTGTCTACAAAGTATTTGTGGTCCGTCGATGCTGGCGTGTTGTCGAATGGACAAGGCTGAGTGGCGTGTGTGAAGGCGCTTCCATGGGCATATGTAGAATCCGGCATCCCGAAACGATCCACTAAGGCGGTCCCTGCAGGGACATTACTCAGCTTTGAGACCCGAGAAAGCAACACTGACGACCGAGCATCGCTCGTGATTTTGGCTTGGCGCTCGAAGAGATTGGTCACGCCGATGCTCAAACAAATGCGAGTGACAAGTGAACTTCCGGTGAGAAATATTCTCGAATGATGGTACATACTCCACCATCGAGGTTTCGGCATCTTTCAGGCTACTCAGGCACCCCCCTCCCTGATCGCTACGCAGAACTTGTCGCCATTCCGCTCAGAAACCTAAAAGCCGTCCGCCCGCGCTGCACATCGTATCATAGTCATATACTCATTTTGGCTCGTTCAAAATTAATCAACTGCCCACGCAAGAGCAAAGGCTCTTACCCATGGCCGAAGTTTTTGGTCCTTTCGGTCTCTGTTTCGGAGCCCTAAGTTTTATTTTGAGCACCACCCCAACTGTTGTAGAGACTGCACAGACCTGGCTAGAGTCCAATGAGCATTTTCAGATATATAATTTCCGCCACGCTTCTTGCGAGTCAAATTACCGCAAGGGATAGATAGAGACGTTGCGAATTGGAAATATATCGCTAGCGTTAATATCGAACAACGCTTCTTGATTTCTCAGCCTCCGAAGAATGAACACTTCCAACCTCGCATCCGCCACCATAAAGATGATCCGGAAAGGATCATAAATCGGGAACAGATTAAATAAATTGTCCTTGGCCAAAGCCCTCCAAACGGAGCACTCAACATCGTTGCTTCAAACACCGAGCGCATTGTTCAGCAATCACTGGCTAGGAGGACACGTCCGTTAGGGGACCTGTTCGAAAAGAAGCCGGAACTCCTCGGCGGTTGGGCCTGACACAGACCGCGTAGGATTGGTCCATTGAGTATCGAATTGGGCCCTGCTCATGTAGGGTATTGCATAGATTGCGGGTCTCTGCTGTTGCGGACTTCAAATCGAAAAGGGAATTGCCTCGAAAGATTGTGTAATGCAAATTTTCACCGTGGGGGAGCACCGCAATTGCTGTCACCACACCTCATGCTTCAGGAACTTGGGAATCGTTCTAGCAGAAATAATCTTAGCTACACCGGTCTATAGACGACAGTTCTCGGAAGTATGAGCGGTGAGCAAATGGGAAGTGGAACGCCGTTTATCGAACGGATATCTCAGATGAAGTATTAGTTAAATAATGTCAGTGCCCCTACGTGAAGCAATTAGCTTTTATTTGGAGAATCAGTTACCATTGGCAAACGAGCAATTTCAACCTGGGCTCTTCTTTTGGTGCATAAATCGGGCGTATGAACCGTCAGTGCCGAGCTCCCATACATCAAGTTCAATGAAAACGTAGTACAAGAAACTCTTGGTGTCTCACAAGATATAGGATGGTTAGGAGAAGCAATGTACCAGCTACCAGAGCTTCAGCAGCCAGAACCCCAACAGCCGGAATTTCAATAACCAATGCCCGTACAGTGCGCAGCAGACGAACAACCGGGTTGGGCCAGTATGGCGAGCATTTGGCACAGAATTGCTCAATATCTCCTGGGTATAATATTGAGTATTTTCGAATTGTAGGCTAAAGGATCTTAACCCCACAGGCATACTCTGTGTGCGAGAAAGACCTAAGCAGGGGTGGTGGGCTGTCGGCTGGTCTAGGTCAAAGAAGAGAAAAAAGTGGTCTGTGATGTCTTCACGACGTTTTCGGCAAAGAGAATTCCTATGTGACGACTGTAGTAAGTGAGCAATCGAAGAACAAAGGAGAAACGCTACAAGCTTAAAACATCACTTCCTCTCATGAAAACCACAGTTGCTCAGCAGAAGAGAATTTATCAATCAATAATAAGGGGATAAGATTTAGGACTGCTATATCTATCAGTAAGAATTGGAAAAATACATACTTCACGCAAATTCATAGTAGATCTTTCAGCGACTCCTGGAAAACTAGGATACCAGCTACCACTAGGAAGATGCCAACGACACCGAATGTGAGCTCTTGAGCTGACGAATTGGTGTGGGATTCGATGATTTGTACAAGCGAAGTTGGTCTAGTCATTATCAGTCCACCGGATGTTGGTATAACCTGTACCAGCATTGCCAAAGCAAGGCATTCTTCACTGGGAGTAGTAATAGATGTTGATGAAAGAGGAGCGATAGCCATTTGAAACATGGTGAAGCGTTATGTAAAATTCTTGGACATGTAGCGAGGGCGCAGAACAATTGGGGGAATGAAGGCCACGCTCTGATAGGCGTATGGGCTCCTATGATCTGTCTTTTGTTGCTTTTTTGTCACTCAACTTTCGCCAAAGCTGGATTTTGCAAGCCAATGGAAAATCGAAAGAATATTCCTTGGCTGGCATTTCATTGATGCATTAGCGCATTGAAAAAAGACAAATTGGAGGCGACGTACCGGGCGGGATTACGTTGTGCCCCACAAGAGTTTACTGCAACATTCATCTTAGAGCATAGTAGAGATCTTTGTGTTGGGAAGGATCCCGGAGAACGTCGTTTGGCGGCCGTAGGACATTGACGATTATTCGATCGTGAAAGACAGAATGCTGGCAACAACACCAGAGTAATCCGTATAACAATTGGAACCCGTACTGCTAGCCTTGACCGGATATGGGCTGTAAGAACGAATCCAAGCCCAATAGTCTAGTAAGACTAGGGTATAGTGATGAATTATCCCTAGTATATGAGGTCCAAAAATCTAGAATCTTTTATGTACAGTAGAAAGAAGCTACTTACAATCAAATCCGTACTCCGCAATACCATCCTATATTATTAGCAGATTATATTCCAGAGTCACTACTCACAAGATTGTATCCACGCCTATATCAACCAGTCACCAAGTAATGTCAGAAAACGCTGTCCTTAGTACCTCCGTCCTCGTTTTCTGCATCTCGGGTGCGCCGCCGACCAAGTCCAAAATGTCGAGCGTCTTACGTGCATCCTCCTTCGCCATCATCAGAAGTGGGTCGTTAGTGGGACTTGTGCCTCCTTTGCTTGGTGAAAGGGGTTTGTCTTGCGTCCCTAATATACGTGCCATAAGAAGCTAAAGATTTCAGTTCGACTTCCACGAATCGTCTGGTGATACATACAGCCTCCTCAAATGCCCGGTGTTGAAACACCCACCACACTCCAGCGTCGACGGGCAGGTATTCTCGGAAATGAAAAAATGCTTTCAAAGCCAACCTTGCAGCCTCCAAAGCCCCTTTCACATCACAGGAGACGCCACCCAAATCATTCTCGTCGGCTTGAAAAATCATTACACAATGCCAAAAATTGCTGCGGAAGAATAAGTTTTGTCTTAGTTGACGTGGGCTTGATGACGCAAGATTGCAGATGGTAGAATCATCAGATGCGGTCAGAACTGCTGGAAAAGATTTTAACAAATCAAGATACTGGTTGATGAGGTTTGTTCGATCGCGAGGGGAGGTGGTCAATGGGTGGTTGAGAGACCGTGGCGTGCAAACTGTACGCTGAACCAGGTTGGCAAGATGCCACATGGAGCGTATGTATTGGCGGTCGGAGAGCTCGTATTGAGGAAACGCGTCCGACATGGGCGCAATATTGTTGATGCTCATGGGGTTAATAATGGTGTCGGTGGTGCCTTTAACGGACGCACCATTTGCCACATACTCTTCTAGCTCGTCAGTCAAAGACTCCACTCGTACGTCAGAGAAGGTGGCTGTTGGTGGGAGTTTTAGGAGGACTGTAAGGAATGTGTCCTGGAACAGGACGGCCTGCCATAGCTTTCGTCGCTGTTGTTTATCACTTAACGAACACCGCGGACTTATGATATCGGGATCGCGATGTAAACCCATCGCATACGCTTGCCGCATAAGAACTCCGCCAAAAGACCACGCGTCAGAAGCATGGTTGTCATTCATGAGGAAGTAGCAAATCAAGACCATGGCCTGCAGTGTCCTTACGGATGCTCGACTTAGATATGACGACAGCCTAAGGGCCTGCTGCGAGGCAGAGACGTAAAACTCGGCAATTTGAGCTCTCTCCTGATCGGATGGCGATGTGATGAACTGCGTCCCCATGGCGTATATTACGAAATGGAGAGCAACCAACACCGGGTCGGCCACATATTTTTCGTTTACTGGCAGAGACCAGAATCTCTCATAGTCGGCGTAGAAGTTCCTCCGATGGATCATGGGATAAACAGGGTCGACTGCATCGAAGTACTTTGTCACGAGAATATCTGCTTGATCCTTGGCTGGGAGCACTCCGATGACTTCGGGCAAACCGCCGCGGCTGGTCCAGTAATTGGCGAATGGGTGCTCTGCGCTAAGACCGAAGAAAGGTGACGGTGTGTGATTCGAGTAGGGTATATTTGAGAGAAGAAATGGAGATGAGCTCGTGGATGAAAGTGATAAGCTCCGATATTGCGGCGGCGCAACGGGTATTTGGATCTAGAGGAGGATTAGCTAGGCCGGGGATTTTCTGGTTGTGCTTCAGGAGGGGAGTGGGATGATAACGGGAATAAGAGTTTACTACCTGAATAGGTATTGCCTGCGTCTCTTCGCCAAGAGCTGGTTTGCTCTGCTTTCTCGCGCGTCCCGCATTGTTACGCGCGGCGCCGCGGCTGCGGATCTCTTAGCAATAGTGAACATGCCACCCTAAGGCGCTCATTTCGGTGCAGGACTCACTCTGCAGACGCAATTAAATTGGCGACGTCCGAGTACCTGCACTCGGACTGGCGCTTGATGCAGGCCAGACACTGCGGGCGGCTGCGGTCGCACTACTCCAACGTCAGCTGGTTTACTCTCCAGACGCGTGACTGCTGGCGCGACAGGCCTTGGTCTTGCGCTCGACACACTCCTCGCAGCTCAGCGTCGGCTTGTTGCGCTTCTGCTTTTTCCTGGGCGGCGGTGTACTTGCGAGGGCGTCGTGAGCGCCATTGTGGTGGGTGGCTGCAGGCATGTCACTTTTTGCTGTTGCATCTCCAGCGCTCATGAGCGTCGGGGCCCTCTTCTCCACGTCCATGGCCTCATGCTTCGACGCAGTTCCTCGATGTCAAGAGCTCCCGCGAACGGCTGGCTTGTGCGGCATGGATGATGTGAAACGGCCCCAGGGCGTCGCACGATATCGGGAATAAGAACAGAGCTGTGAGAGTGTGCGTTGTTCCCAGCGACAAAAAGGCGGCGATGGGGGGGGGGCGCTCGGGGACAGCGAACGATGTCGTATGCAGGTGGTAATGAATGCCAAGGAGGCCCTCGCCAGCCGGCTCTCCGCTCTCCAGGTTCCCCTCTCCAGCAGTCATCAGCTGTCAGGATTCCAAGGTATTCACCCAACGTCATGTTAAGTCGTCGAGGATAGGGATTGTGGGAGAGTCGTCTCTGTGGAGTGGACCATTACTGCAAACTCTGTGGCGCGGGGCTGTTGAGCTTAATATCGGCGTCTTCCGACATTGTGGAACCCTGGGAAACGATCTAGAGATGGTAACAATATTCTCTCAACAACCATATTAGGCATGTATCAGATCACCTCCATTCAGAGCTTACCACTGTGTAAAACATGATGAAGCTGATTTGTGACTGGTGTGCTGAGTTGATAAACTTCCTGTCAACGTTCCGTGATGGCATCAAAACGCAGACTGGGCAATCAAAGTTGTATGCCGTAAGAGAGACTCGTTCATATTAAAAGCTATCTACCAAAGCGTCAGACCAAAATAATGGCTTTCCTGTTTCCCAGACTACCGACTCCTGCTGGAGCGATGTTCTACTTTCGATCTGGAGAGGTTTATAGCGCTAGGTTGTGAGGCCGCGCTCGAATCACACGAGTTGCGGCGTAGCTCGGGAGAGTAGCAAGGCAACAAACAAAGCCTCGGAATATATCGGAACCAGTAATAAATAGGGAAATTGGTTAGAAGCAATGCTTCGGTGAAAGAGATAATCTCGGCAGAGAAGACTGATGCGTGTGACTGGGACACTCACTGCAGAGGTAAGCACCGCATCATCCCCGAGTTCGGCAGTAACGATTGGCGTGATCAAGTCTGAACATGAGATGGTCAAAGGAACAAGCAAATGGAGGTTCAGAAAGTTTTAGCAATCCCGCGGCGTTCATGTGCCGTACTGTGCCTCTTTGTCTCCATATACAGAGAGTGGTACCCAACGTATTATCGAATTGAGAACTACGTTCGGTGTACAAAAAAAAAAAAAACATAGAGGGGAGATTTTAATAATCAATGGAATGGAATAGGGGAAATAAGAAGATTATCTCGGATACATTAAAGCGACCAATGTCACGTTACCCATATATCTATATCCATGCTCCATAAAATGCAGGCCGCATCCAACTGAGATGCTGAGACAAATTCTGGGTATCCAATTTGAACTCTCCACACCTCAACTATCCTAACCCGTGAATTCCCCAATTGCGGTGACCAGGATGAGCAGTTACGTTCTTAGCAGGCAGCTTACGTGTACTGCCTCATAGCATCCCTGTACCCATTCCCTCCCCGCAAATCGGCGTCAAAGTCTTCGGCAACGTCCAAAACACGTTTGATGTGATCCATCGAGAAAGCATCTTCCTCGGCAAGCGCAATCGACTGGGCAGTCTTGACGGCGTTCTTAATCTACGCAAAATCAGTAACTGTGGGGAGGTCGAATTTGCGAATAGAGGAAACTTACCTGTCGCCCATTTAGCACCTTCTTGCTCAATTCGTCGAAGTGTTCCTTTTCAAATGGCTCGCTCTCCTGGCCTTCCATCTTCCTGACACTGCCGACATGGTGGGTCCAAACCTCCTTCCTCGCGTTGCGGGTGAGGTTTTCGTATCGAATAGCCATGTGAATGCGTGATTGGAAAGCCTCGTCAAACGTCTCGACCCTGTTTGTGGTGAGGAATAAGATACCCTGATAGTACTCCAGAAGACGCAGGAATATTGAGACAAGCGCATTTCTGTGAATGTCATGGACTTCCCGTTTCTCCAAGAAAACGTCTGCTTCATCAAGCAGCAAGATGGCGCCCCAAGAATGGGTAATGTCCATGATCTTGTTGAGCTCTGCCTCGAGCATGCGTGAATCTGTGCCTAGTTCACCGGCTGATACGGCGTACAACGGACACTTCAAATATTCGGCGATACTTTCCGCGGTAAGCGTCTTACCCACACCCGGAGGCCCGTGAAGCACGACATTGAGGCCTTTGCCCTTGCCCTGAATGACATCGTCAATCGTCTTGGCGGCATGGAACTTGTGGCTGCTGACCAGCCCCTTGAGATTCTGCTTGATGTGTTTATGCAGAACGAGCGAGCTGAAGGCTTCGTTGTTCCACTCGATGTCCTTGATTCCCGACAGTGAGAATTCGAGCCACAGCTTCTCTGAGAACGCGAAGCCCAAGACCACCGGGGAGGCGATCAGTAGCTCTTCCTCAGAAAAGGTGCATGCCGATTCATCGTTGCGATCTACTGCCTCAAGAGTTTCAGCGATGACTTCATTGCCATCCTCATCGACCGGGACATGGATGACATGCACCTGGTCGTTCTTGTCCACAAAAACCTTGACCTTCGTCCGTTCTCCAAAGCCGCTTTCGTCGCTCAAGTTGACCGCAGCTTCGGCGCCTGGAGTGTCAGACTCGGAATCTGCAGGGCAGCATTCGGAGCACTCGTCGTCGGAGTCATCTTGAGAATTGGGAGAGTCGTCATCCTCTCTTCGCTTGATGTATGATATGGGGTAATTTGGACACACTCGTCGGAATATTGCTGGATCAACCATAACCCTACCATTGATGTTAACCTTCGCAACAGCCTTCTTCTTCTTCTGATAGGCCAGGCCTTTGTGAAATCGGTAGTTCATCCCTTGGAGACCAACGAATTTCTTGCCGCGTTCTACCAGCTGCTTCTTGACACCTTCTGGATCCTTGTGGTACTGTAGGGGATACGTCGCGAGGCTGGTGATCTTTCGAGGCCCTTTAAAAGCTTCCACATGAACTTCTAGGTCACCCAGACCGAAGACTTTGCCATCATATTCGAGATACCGACCTTCGATGCTGTACCATTCTCCACGGAGTGGGTGTCTTTCCTTGTTCGCGTAGTCGACCTTGAAGCAACGGGGATCCTCGGTCGAGCCGTAGGTGGGGGTGAAGGCTATCGTGTTGGGTTTGAACAAGGCCCAAAGCAGGTCGAACGTGATGTTACCTGCCTTCAGCATTGGGTACAATGACTTCTTCGTGTCCTCGTAGTCCTCGTCAAGATAGGCAGCAAGAATTTTGCAGTGAGAAATTTGCTGGCTCAGCCTCTTTTTGATTTTCTTCTTCTTCTCTTTCTTTAATTGCGCCTTGAGAGTCTTCCGATAGTAGGTTTTCAGTTCTTCAAGGTAGAGGAAGAGCATGTTGGGATCAATCTATGTGCTTTTAGTACAATACGAATGCAACAGAAGGATTCAGAACTTACGCTAGGTGATTCCTCGACCAGCGAGACACCCTTGACATCCTTCATGACTTGTTGCAGCGCATCTCGAAGTGGCTTGGATTTGACATCGACTTTGGTATAGGAATACTTGTTTTCCCAATCGAACTTTCTGCGTACGACGAAAACCTACCCAGTATCAGCATATGCAGGTGATTATGGCAAAGGTAATATAAGTGCGCGACCGAGACGACACAGCCCACTACGAAGCGGGGATTTACAAAGGGAACTCACAAATTCATCAAACTCATTGACCTCCTTTTCCGCGCTCTCGGTAAACTTATAATTGTAGATGTTGCCTGGTCTTGATCAGCATGCATGTACCCGAGAGAGGACATCCACGGATGTGATCTGAAACTTACGATCCCACACCTGGTCGACTCGCTTATATTCGAGCGTGGATACCCGCTTCGACGGCTTCTTCTCCCTTTTCTTTTGTGTTTTCGACTTCTTTTTGGTTGTCTGCGGAGTCGTGGCTTGCGTCAGCTTTGTCATCTGCAATTGAGCCAACTGGGTTCTGAGGTTGCTCATTTGCGTATCGATATCATCGTCGACCGGGGCGGTTGCATCCGGCGTCGCCTCGGCACTGTCCTCCTCAGAGGACGACTCTTCCGCCTTGCTTGCTTTCCTACTCTTTCTCTTGCGTCGTCTCCTTTCATGTTCGCTTTCGCTTTCACTGGTGTCACTGGTATCGCTGGCCGTGCTCTCCGAGTCGTCGCTCGAGGAGTCATACTTTCTACTCTTGCGCTTCTTGGCCTTGGCCCTGGCTTTCGCCTTCTCCTTCTTCCGCTCCTTTCTCTTCAATGCTTTCTTCTTCCGCCGCCGTCGTTCCTGCTCGTCTTCGTCACTCTCGCTGTCGCTACTATCGCTAGAATCACTGTCGGAACTGTCCCCGTTGCTCTCCTCCGTCGTGCTTTCTTCCTTGGAACGCTTCTTTCCTTTGTTGGCCGAGCAGCACTTGTCCTTCCGCTTACCGTGCTTGTTGCATAGTGCCTGCTTTTTCGTCTTCTGTTTGGGCAGCTGCGTTTGCGGAGGGTCTCTCTCCGCAACTGCCGTGTCCGTCTCCACTTCCAGCGCCGTCACTGACTGTGCCTGGTCTAGTGTCACCCTGACGGCATCCTGGAAATCTCCAGTTCCCATGACTGCGCCGGGACTGTCTCGCGCACTTGAGTTCGAGTCCATGTCTGCCACGTTGCTGGGGAACAGTCTCGTGGATTGGATCGGATGTGGTTGAATGCGTAGGTATCGTGGGATATGCTGTGGACTGTATGCTCCTGGCGCTTCAGGAGCTTTACGTATGGGGGCGCTGCGTGCGGCTTTATAGCGGTGTGGGCTCCTGTTTGCTGGCCTCTCTACACGTGGTGAGTCAAGCTGCCAATCCACGACCGCGAACGAAGCATGAACGATGCAGAGTAGCGAATAGTAGTGGCGATGTCAGCACAGGCAGCACGTCCAAGGCTCACAGTTCGCCAATACTCAGACAGTGAGTGTAGACGGGAGTGCAGCACAGCGGTGCAACGACGGGTCAAGATGTCAGGAGGTTGTAAAGACTCAAAGAGCAGCGTCCGCCCTTTATACCCAGGCATACCGGGATGGGGCGGCGCAGGCAGACGCCGCCGCACGAGAGCGAAGCCATGGCTAAGACGCTTCTTTCTGCACCCTGTGCTCCGTCCTGCTGCCGGTGAAGGGAGCTGAAGAACTGTCTTCAGCCTGGCATTGCACACATTCCATCGTAACTCGCTGTCCTGGTGCGCGTCCTGTTCACGGACCAGTGCACTAGGTCCGATTCGGTGACCTAATCGGCAATCTCACCGCTCCACCTGTGATACCTTGTTCCTCGGCCTTGGCCGGACACTTTTTGCACTCGCAGCCTGATCATTTCATATCGAGTTATATTGAATGTCTGCCTGGTCGGACCACAAATATCACTGGCCACCACCAGGCTATCCAGCCTTGCTCTAATGGCCCTCCGTGAGGGGTCGCTCTTGCAAGATGGGTACCCCTCTGTTCCACCGATACATGTCCTCTGTTCCCAGCGCCCAGTCTCTGCATCCTGCAACATGCAGCCAGGGATACTGTACTTGATACGCTCGGCCAAGACCTTGCAAAAGAAATCCTGGTTACAGTACTCGCACACATCAGTGCCATGCAATCCTTCCTCTTCCTTGTCACGCTCTCAGCGCTTGTTCTGTCAATCAAAACCTGTGTTCGTCTTCTTCGCGTATCCCAAGCGGCCCAAGGAATGCTCGTTCGCTGTTTTCATTTCTTCTTCGGGTCTTCCGCCCGGCAGGTCTCCGGTCGAAATGTGTTGAATCCCCCCCACGATGCCTGCCACGTCGTCGTGGTTTGATGCAGGTGAATGTGTGTTGGAACCACCAGTTTCTGGCTTTGTCTTGCCTTGCGCAGGCCATGTGCCGTCCAATTGTGCAGAAGCCGAGCTTGGCGACTGGTTCCTACACGTGGGTAACCCCGACGGTCCGCTCCCGCTGCTAGGTGTCTCAATCGTCTCCTCGCCGCTTAGCCCATGCGAACGTACACCTGCTGTGCTGTTCTCATGTGGGTCGGGCGCCGTGAAAACCGTATGCTGGCTCTTGACACTGCTTGCCTTGCTAATGTCCACGCTCGATCCAGCGGGGCTCGATGTCCGGAGACCAAGATCTTTCTCCTCGCTTGGTGCAACATTGTCTTGCCCTTTCCAGTCTGCGGGAGATGTCTGCTTAACCTCTTCGCCCTCCTTGGGTTCAGTGATCACAATTCCTGGTTTACCCCCCTCGTCCTTGAGCGCTTTCCACACAACGGCGATTTTATCAAACGCTCGTGTACCCTTCTTGCTACTACCTTTGATACCGTCCATCGCGTCCCATGTGATTTCGAACACCCCTGATTCGTCTGCTTCACCATTTTGTTCAGGCCCGTTACCTTCAAAAAAGGTATTCATCCAGACGTGTGCGACCGAAGTAACCATGGTTAAACCATATGCTGCCTTGTTACGCCGCTCGACGTCAATGTTGAAGTCGTTCGTTGGTAGGACCACTCGCTTCGATGGACGGAACACAACGTCCCCCTTTCCATTTTCCTTGCTACTCGGAGAATCCTCTTCCTTGGAGAAGCTTGCGCCGTCTAATAATGCGCCTTTGCCCAAATGATATGTCGAGGCCTGCTTGACACCCTGTTCATCGTTGTTGTCACTATCAGGAGAAGCAGTCTTTGGCTCCTTCTTGCTTAGAGATCTCTTCAATCCATTCTTGCCCATGACTTCATTCACGGCCTGAGCAAATCCGCCGGTGCTCTGAATCTCACCCCTCACTACCTCCCTTTCAGACCTCGTGAAAGTGTGGAATGCCTTGATAATCTTCCCGTCATTCACGAATCCCTCGACCTGAATCTTGACGCCGTCTCTCAGCCCCCAGCAATGCACTTCAAGCACCTCAACCTGCCTCTCAACGTAGATCTTGCCGTGCTTAGCCCACCGCTCAACATAACCAATCCACCTTAGCTGACTGGGTATGCTAACGCCATCACCCCACCCTGGCCGCATACGACGTTCTGTAAACCTCTTCAAGGCATCCTTGGCCTCCCAGCCCTCCTCGCTAATTAGGTAGCTGCAACTTGCCGTTCCACTTCTGCCTTTGCCAGCCTTGCAGTGAACGACGACGACCCGACCCTTCTTCCCCTTGAGCCAGTTGCGCATGCTCGCCATCATATGGGGTATCAAGACAAAGGGCGGCGGGTGGTGGTCGGGGAAGGGATAGTGGTATACCCGGTTGTATACCTCATCGTCGGGATATCCGGTGCCCTCGGCGCGAAACTCCCATATAGCCCAGTCTTCGCCATGCTTGTGGTCGAGAAACTTAACAAGTGAATCGAGGGGATTTCGGTATGCGCGTTGGGGATAGGTTCCTGACGGACCAGATGTGGCGATAACTTAGGGCAGGAAGTCAGTCTCCACGCACAGTCGTAGGGTGAAGGAGCATTACTGTGATCTGTCACGTAACATAGATCTAGTCCGGCTTCGGCATGTCTAGCTCGCGGGCCCGCCACTATCTGGCGGAGTAGCGACGCCTGAAGGGACAGTTAGCAGTGTAGGCTTGATGCAAATGACTCTGCGGCCCTACAAACCATATCCTCGTCTTGCAAAGACGCGGCAGCAGTCAGGGAGTTGGCGGAGTTAGTCTTTCACCTGGGCATGGTGATGACAGGAGTGAGTAAGTGGTTTAGCTTCGGAAGGTGTAGTTGTGTGAGCAGAAGGAGGTCAGGCAGGGCGCTTGCAATGCAAGCGATGCGCGCACGAACTAGTGATGTCATCCTGGTCAAGCTTTTTGCCAAGCGTTTTCGGCCGTGTTGCTCCCGGCCTGTGGCTGGAGTCAACCCTACAGGGTTCCATTTCTTACTCATACTCGCGGAGCTTCGTATATTTGTATTCCTATATGTGCCTACATCATGCAGCTAAAGCGTCTTCATTTCCCGTACTAGGTGCAGCGGCGAACCTAGCGGACACCGCAGTCTTATGCAGCCTTTTGGGAGTGATGCCCATAGCTTCCATGTCCTTCAGAACTGCAGGCGTCCTTGCATCTCCATCTTCACAGCCCTCTTCAATTAACATCTCCAACATCCCTCTACGGGGTATGTAACTTTGCCCTCTCATCTCTTCGTAATACTGGAAGGCCCCTTCCACATCTCCAACACTTAAGCACACATGGACAAGACGATCGTAAGTCAAAGCATCTGGCACAACACCAAGCTGGATCATTTCCGAGGCCAGAAACATGGCGAGTTCTTTACGTCCAGCTCTATGACAGCCTTGGAAGAGAATGTTGAACGTCGCCGTGGTTGGTCCTGCCTGACTAACCGTGTGGAGCGCCTTGTATATTTCCAACGCTTCTTCCAGCCTTCCGCGGTGCACCGAAGCCTGTATGCAAACATTGATGGCCGAGGTTGGAACTTTGCGACCACTGTGCTCGAAGCTCTGAAGGATATCGAAAGCCTCCATGGGTCTTGAATCGTCTTGGTTTAGATACGCGAAGAGCGGATTGATGGCAATTTCGTCGACCTTGATTCCACCTTCTTGCATAATGAGAATGACTGAGAGACCGGCATTTAGGTCTTTGGCGTTGAGATATGTTTCCAGCAGCAGTTCATAGTGGTGCACATTGAACACCGTCTGACGTTCGGCCAGGACACGAAATACATCGGTCGCAAGTTTTACGTTCCCGATGCGGGCTGCCACATTCAACACATTCAGACACGTGCCAGTCGATGGCTTCAAGTATGATGGGACCACCTGCGCATTCCAAACGAGATTCACTGCTTCAACCTGCAAGACACTGGTTAGTAATATGGCGCCTACAAAGGTGTTATACTGACATGATGGAGCTTGCTGGCGCAGTCAAGGAGGTGCATCCAAAGTGTGTAAGACAAATTTCCAAGTCCAGAGCTCTGCCGCAGCAGTAGCAATTGGTGCGCCTCCTCGACCTCTCCGTAATCAAGCAGCATGTACATGGCGGTGTCGTAGAGCCATGGTGCCACAGGTATGCGCTGCTGCACCATGTCGTCTATCTTCTCCAAAGCTTGTTCAAACAGGCGATCACGCAGCAGGCCTGCGATGACGAAATTGTGCCCCTTGTCTGTCAACGTAAGCCACCGGTCCTTCATATATTCGAGAATCTCGGAGCGCAGTAGGTAGTCTGGATGGACTGCGAGCGCCTATCCACAACAGGTTAGCAAGCCACGACTAACACAAGAACATGGACTTCGCCATACCTCCAGAACGAAATGACAGGTGGTAGCATCGAGCTCTATGCCGTCCTCTCCCATGTCGTCCAAGATTTTCCTAATCTTTCCTGCTGTGCCATCCTCTGGGCTCACAAAACTGTGCAATATAGAAGCGTATAGCACTACATTAGGCCGCTCCCGCCTATCTTTCAAGAGGATCTTAATAATGTTCATAACCTCCGCATGGCGGCCAGCGGCGGCATCACTGCGAAGACGCTCGTAGAGTTCCGGTGTGGGCAGATGGACCAGGGAAGGCTTGCGGGCACTCGAAGACCCAATAGAGCGATCAAAGCCATGGCTAATGCCCGGGGCACTTGTTTGCCTCCCTACAGCTGTAGTGTAGGCACGCAATTGGGCTGTCGGGGAGGCTGGGCCCAGTGAACGTTTCGGAGGTACAGATTGAATCGCGCGTTGCAGTCGACCACGAGAAAGTCGGCAGAGTGCCGGCCCTGGTTGGAACGACGGACACAGACATTTCCACAACGCGTCGCTAACAATTGACGGTGGGTGCATTGCCGTGGTCACAAGGCTGTTGAAGTCTAAATGAGCACGACGTCTAAAGCTGAGGTTGCGGTTGTTAGGTCCTTGACCTGGCCTGTGCGGGCTGACGTCGCCAAAGAGTGCGCCGGGTGAACACACCTGGGCAAACACCGTCAACTATTCACGTTTACCACAGGCTACTGAAAGTTTCAAGATTCGTTGAAAATACTCCATTTTCCCCTGAATCCGCAGGGCCTAAGAAATGCTACTCAGATAACTTTCACCCAGAAGACCTGCTAACTACCCCAAACAGAAAGGAAAATAACGACAAGCCAAGTGAAGAAAAGGGTATATACAGAGAAGTCCAAAGGGGGCAAGTGCCCAATGCCCCAACCAAACATTACACATATTATGTCTAACCCAAAATCCTTCTGACCGAGGACTGTTGTGCTTCAATGCACTAAACTCACGGCAGAACGGCATGATCCGAACGGCAATCAGCGTGAACGGCGCCTTCACCTTCTTCTTAATTGTCCACTGAGGTATTCGAGAACCTGACATTCCATTAGCTTCGGTTTAAGCAAGCGTCTTCGCAAAGGGCGTACCTTGGGTGAGATAATCTCCTGGTTGACCAAATGCTTGCTCAACCCCTTAACGACCTCCATCTGTTCCTCGGGAGTCAAGCCGGTAATGGCAGACTCAATAATGCCACCCACACTTGTCGTGTGGATAGCAATGAAGCTAGAGTAGTACATGAAGGCAATGGAGCCCATGATGAACTGACAGTCCATGCGGTCCGTCATTCCTCCGTGGCCAGGAATTGAGTCACCGAAATCTTTAATCTTGAACGTGCGCTTGAGTCCAGAGGCAAAGAAGCCACCAAAGGGGGCAATTAGTGAAGCAAACGTTGCGAGGACGAAAACATGGAATTGAACAGGAGCAATGGAAAACCGGCTCGGCAATTGCGTCCATTCGGGCAAGGGCACGGGTAGAGTGAACATGCGAGGAATGAAGACCGGGTTCGGCTTGCATTCTAGCCCAGTCCAGAGGTTTGCACCGAGGTCCTGTAGCTGGTAAGCAAGCTTCATTGGGTACATGAGGGACGTGGCTTACATTCACTGGGCAGATAAAATATTTGTAACGAATCATGATGTGTGTGACGCCAATCCCAAAGATGATGGTGAAGAACCACGCGCCCAAGAAACCCTCCCACGTCTTCTTAGGCGAGATCTTGATCAAAGGCGTCCGGCCAAAAGTGATGCCGCAAATGTAGGCAAAGATATCATTGGTGATGACCATTGCCACGGGCAGGAAGAACCAAATCATGCCTTCGAAGATGTTATTGATGACAAAGTGGGCTTGGCCGACAATTAAGAACAGGGCCATATGAGTCCACGCAAATTGGGTGAATTGAAATTTATAGTGTCCCTTTTGCAGGGAGCTGACAAAGAAGATGAAGCCTAACCAGGAGTCAGTAGGGTGCGCAGAAGCGGGTGGGTCAGAATGCGTACCAATGATGTACAACATGAAGCTTATGAATCGGTGGTGGGTAGCAAGGGGGAGCAGGATCTTGTCGACCAACAAGATATGCTTAAAGTAGTAGATGACGCTCTCGCCGTAGAGGAAATACATGGTGGTGCCGAGAAAATACCAGTTGAGCGTCTTGGTAAAGCGCAGACTCCGCGCGCGGCTGGGGACGTTCGAAATAGCAATGACTTCTTTGAAAGATATGATCTGGACGGCGGTCACGACAATGATGATGTAGATGTGGCCGGCAAACATGGACCAGAAGAAACCGCCGATCATGATGAAAGTCCAGATTGTGCGAGTGATGAAGTTCTGCTTCTTCTTCTCATACTCTGATTGCGGCGGGGGTTCGGGCGACTGGGAGTGTGTTAGAAACGAGCGGGATGCAGCTCGAGTGGGAGGGGATGGGGTTGAGAGTGGGTAACTGACGGCAGGCTTTATCTTGTGGGAGGCGCCGTTGCGCGTGGGACTGCCCGGCTCTGAAGCATTCTCGCTGATTTCTGACATGCTAGTGCTGGGTCTTCGCGCCTTTCCGTTGGCTGCGCCTCCCCGGTGTTGGAACTTAACGTCTTTCCGCGGTCGTGCCATAGCGGGCGGGTGTTTGTCTGTGACCCTAGATCTTCGCGGCTGGGCCGGGTTTGGTTGGCGGAGTCGAAGGCGCGGGGTGCAGGCCGTCGGCGGGGGAGGGGATGAGGGCGCAAAGAGCGCTGTAGCAGCGGGAGAGGTTAGGAGGAGATGCAAAGGGGGTAGGAGAGCGGCAGCGAAATTGGTAGTGGTGGAGTTGGAGTTGAGGAGGAGCTAAACGGCGTGGAGACGTCACCGCGCCCAGCCCGTGTTCGCGTCAACCTGAGGCTGCAGCACACGTGCAGGCGGACAACACACTCCACTCCACTCCGCTCCGCTCCACTGCGCTCACTCACTGCACTTCAGCACTTCAGCACCCCGCGCGCCAGCACGCCGAGTTGCGAAGCCGGGGAGACATGCGGGAGCGCTGGGACGATGGACGAAGATGACGACTTCGCCTTCTCCGACTGCGACCTCGACGACCTCCCCGCCAACACGCTGCAACAGCTTGAAACCGCCGCCATCGAGCTGACCCAGCACCCGCCAAACCCGCACCGCGCTGCAGACTCCGACTATGGCCTGGAAGACGGCGACGAAGTCATTAATCTTGACGACGACGCGGCCCCGCCTCCCCCGCTCCCACAGCTCCCACAGCTCCCCCGGCCCTCGTCACCGCGTGCCCACGACCACAATGGTTCCTCTCACGACGCCATTGAGGCCGAGGAGCAGCCGCGGCGGTCGCAGGTCGACGTCGGCCAGCTGCTGCGGCGCATCAAGAAGCTAGAGCAGGACAAGGCACGGCTGAACCGCGACCTGCAGGGCGAGAAGTCCAAGGCCCTCTCCAGGTCAGGCGAGGTCGACACGGTCCGGCGCCGCTTCGAAGCAGCGACCCGCGAGAACGAACGGCGGCTGCTCGCCCTGCAACAGTCGCACAGCCACGACTTTGCCAAACAGAAGGCCGAGCTGGAGAAGATGCGTCGCGAGCGCGAGACTGCTCAGACAAACAACCTGTTCCTTGAGCATGACCTGGCGCGAGAAGCAGATCGCGCAAGGCGCGTGAAGAAGGGCGCGAAGGAGGCCGCTGTCGCTGGGCCAAAGGCGAATGCGAGTCCGGTCGGGACGCCAAAGCGGCCAAAGGCCCTGCCCTTCCGTGATGGATTTGACGATGAAGATATCGTTATGGCCTCCCCCACCAAGAACCGGGACAGGCCGAAGCCGCCGACTCCCAGGCAGGTGGGCAAGCGCAAAAGGCAGATCACCGATCAGAGCCCAATACCTGCCCTGCAATTAAGCGAGCCCCGAGGCGGCCCCAAGGCTCAAGAGCCCTCAGTGCAAACTCATGCCAAGCTTGATGCTGCCATGCTTGAGAAGCTCAGGAGGGACGACCATCGGTTTGACCTCCTGCACCGCCTCGTTAACCATCGGTCGTCAAATGGGACGGACAGGGTTCTCGAGGCGCTGACGCAGTATGCTCTGCCATCCCGGCCCGACAAGAGGCTATCCTCAATCTTGTACGACGACCTCTCCCATTGTAGCGTGGGACACGACGTTCGTCAGCTCGCACTCCGAATCTGCTACATTTTCCTCTCCCTCTGGGATCGCTGCCTTCGGGAGAAATACTACGCTCCCGTATACCTATTTCTCGACGCCCTCCAGTTCATTCTCGCTTGTGAGCCCGCTTCCACTGCCGTCGCCTTGACAGAGCGTGCTATTCCCCTGATCATGGCCGCCGTAGACCTTGTTTCCGTCCCTGTCGCCCGTGCCGCGACAAATGTCAAGCATATCCCTGACCTGTACTCTCCATCCCAAAGAGCAATTTGCACTCATATTGACGTCTTGGAATGCCTCAATCTCCTGTACGTGATTGCTACAAGCTGCGTCACTTCCACAGAGGCTATCACTCGCTTCTGGCAGAGCATTCCTATCGACTTCGCCTTGGTTCTGCTGATGAAAGCGCAGCCCCTTCCACATATCATGCTTATGCTCCGTATTCTCAGTACCTCGTCTCTTCCAACAACCCTTGGGGCTATCGTCGCTGTTGGTTCTATGCCAGACCAACAAGCAAAGCGAGAGGTGGATATGATAGACCGTCTCACTCTACTCCTTTTCGAGACTCCCGAAGCTCTTCCGGATCCTGACGGTAAAGCGCTGCCGCCCACGCCATGTTCTGCGAAAGACATATGGGATCTTCGCATCCGCGTCCTCGCTCTTCTCACAAACTTCAGCATCTCAGACTATGGCTCGTCTCGTTTAGCAAACCACCGCAATTGCGTCGGGCGTCTTATCAAACATCTCGACTTCTCCCTCTCCTATCTCTACACCTCTCCTCTGTTACCAACTCAATCTCTTACCATCACGTCCATCAACATAAGCATGAAACTCATTTACCACCTCATGACGTCACACCCGGATATCGACATCAAGTCGAAGCTTGGCGCGGTTCAGGGAGGCAGTCACAAGTATCTAGTGGCACTAACACGATTAGCATTCAGTGAAGGACTAGTCCTGGAAGAGGGCATCGAAGAAGATGTCGTGGATGCCGCGCACGCGATCTTGGATGAAGGGCTAAGTCCGGAGGAAGGTGAAGGCTTGCTACGAGTATTCAGCAGTGGAGGCAGTGCGTAGGCTTCTCGCGAAAATTTCCACTAGCATTAAATCTTTTGGATGCTATTTAGCTGGCACGTTTCGAATCATAAAGGACGACACTCCTAGTGTATGTGGCCATTTCCAGTCCCGAATTTGCATCATGATAGATAATGGATAATAATTCAGATTAATTGGCATGTCCGTAGGTAGAAAGGTTTTCGTTGGCTTCCGCTTTTCCCTCCTTCAATCGTCTACGATACTTAGAGATCACGTCGTGAGGCGTGGGGATTTTCCGAGCAACAAGAGTCATCATTGTGGGTCAGAAGGGGGCTTACTCGTGTACATCCCAGCGCAAACTTCCATTCTGAATGATATCTCCTGTAGGGCTCCAAAAAGTTTTGTCCTCTTCGCCACACCACGCAACCTAGTTAAACAACAGCAAACACCTCAGTCGGATAAATATCAAATCCTTGTGGTGGCGCAATAAAAGCATTATAAATTGTGCCTGCGTACCCTGTAAAGTTATATGCAGGCCAGGAAACGATGATAGCAGTTCATCCTGTCCCCCCCTCCACAAAACCTTGTTTCAATTCGCCCACCTTTCCCCAACCCTCCCCAGTTCAGAGCTGACAGCAATCTTCTTCGGACCCAACTCTACTGCACTTGCATTCCGCAGCAGGAACTTCGCCACAACGCCATTATTGACATCTTCTAGGGGGCGGCACATCTTAAACAGACTTCCGTCCTCGTATCCTCTACAGTACGTTTCGACACCGGCGATTTCGCCTAAGATAGTGGAAATTGTTACGTTGAAGTCGTAACTGCAGGCTTGATAGTCACGACCAGCATTCTAGCCGCTTACAGACCAAACCCAGCCTCTTGGGATGTCCGTTTGGCGGGGTTAGGAAACGGAGGACGAGAGCACGGTGGCTGATTGGGCGAAAAGCAAGCCGAAGGAGGTCCTGCTTTGTGCTGTCGGCTTTTTGTGCTTGCATGAGAGATGCGATTGAAGTTCAAGTGGATGGGAATGGGTTCTGAGAGTTTTTCAACAATGCGGAAGAATCCGCTGGTTCTCTGAATAACTCCCACAATCAATGAAAAGGAGTGGCTTATTCCACGACCAGGACTAGAGAGAGGAGTATTATCTAGATTGAGGACGCAAAGCTGGTATGACACCTTGTAAACATAGGCAACAATCCACTGTATGACCTGCCATATGAAGGTGAGCGTTCTCATTTCAGGTCCTTGGTAATAGACCGGAAGTAGCGTCGGCGATCACAGCAGCCCGACTCCCACCTACTACTTTCCTCACTCTAATTGAGCTCGAACGCCACGTTGTTACCTTTCGCAACTATTCCCCAGTTTTCCCCAGGTCTTTTGAGAGAATACATTTTATTTTTATCCAACAAACTCGGCTCTTTGCCGACGGATTTCAGGTCAAACCCTCTGGGCATAATCTATCGACGTGGCCCTCTTCGAGCTATAACGGGAGGCCAGGACCGCGGCTGTTTGCCTTTTTCACACTCTCTTTTAGTTACGATACCGTCTTTTCTTCCTCTCCGTCTACTCCTTCTGGTCAGACGGGGGTTGGTGGGTTCCGTTCGAACTCCATTCGACAAAATCAGGCGGCCAAGAGAGTGATTTAACTCATTCATGTTAAAGGCTCAGCGAGCGTGTGTACGCCATCTCCTCGATGGCATACCTGGGGCGTTGGATGAGAGCTATGGCCAACTAGAACAGCCAATCCCCTTTAGCGAAGGACATGCCAGAGAGCGAGCATTAAGTATTGACCGCGTAGCTCACCTTGCAGTCGTTCAGAGACCCTAAAACAGTAAATCTCTACCCCTCTCATTGTCAAAAACCTCTGCTAGTAGACTTTGAAAGAGTTTTGTCTAATATCGTCACACTCTCATTTTCATGCGTGATTGCTTTCCCCTGTTTTCTTCGAATATTTGACATTCTCTGGGGAATCATGCCTCCAGTTAGCCTTAACTGCGTCTAATTTGTTAGAAGGCTGTGAGGCAAATGCTAAGCAAGACGTTGAGCCACATCATGCATGGGAAGATTGAAAAGAGTGCCCATCCCGCCCATAAATAGCTACTACTTTCAACTTCTTCACTTGCCAACACCGAATATGAATAGAATATCTCGAGTGGAGACACTCAGGCTACCAATTCTGCTTCTCATACTTGGCCATCTAGCTTGTCTTGTCAATGCTATAGCTCTGTCGCATCCACCTAGGGCCTTCATAACTCCACCGCCAGCCTTGCAGCGAAGAGCAGTAACAGCCTTGGGATGGTACTCTGCTGGGTTCACCAGCAGTCGTACAATTTGTGAGTTCTCTTCGTGTTTCCCGACGTACTGGGAACAAAGGGTCAAATATTGAACATCACAGGGAGCGCTTGGACATACGATAATGCGATATTTACTCCTTACACCTCGGCTAGCTTTTATGGATTCTGCTCTAAAACAAGCTCCTGCAATCTGTTCTACAGCTGTTCGTCGGGCTATATTCTCTACGCTCGAACTTCCTCCGCCTGGCAAGTCCAGCCTCTGGAAGATGCAATTAGAGAGCTGCTAACGGACACTTTAGTGGAACGTTGTCCTATACTTGCACTTTCAACCTTCTTTATCCCTCTCTCGGGGCCTCGACCCCCAGGTCGCATTTCTGGTGCGACCTTAAAGGCTACACTGGGTTGAATATTTTCGCCACGTCACCATCGGTGACTACTACATCAGGTATTTGCCTCTTTGCTGCCTCCCAGCCTTATATTTAGCGAGCATAGAATGGCTAATAGGCTCTTTAGCGCCCCCTGTAACGACTATTGTTACTTCGATTACAACGGTGAAAGTGACAAACCCTCCATCCACAGTAACGAAGGTCGAAACTTCGCCTCCGCTCACCGTCACCCAAGTATCTGTATTCACCTCCGCAATCACTCAAAGCCCACCTGCCCCTCCTCCACCGAGCAACCAGCCCACATCGCTCTCCCAAAAGCCAGCCTCCATCACTTCTTCCCGCCCAAGTGACTCACAACCTAGCTCTGCCGCTCTTCCAAACAACCCTGTCTCAACCGTCGTCGCAGCACCTCCCAACAACTCTCCTGCCTCAATCAACAATCCACCATACAATGTTGCGCCATCCAATAACCCCACTGAAACGATTCTAGGCGACTCTAGCATCATCCGTACGATCAACAATCCTATAGGTGCTACAAACCTAGTTGCCCCCACTACTATACAACGCAAGCCTGATACTGGAATTATCGTTGGTGGTGCGGTGGGAGGTTTTGCAACCGTGGGCATCATCGGACTTCTTGCCTTGTTTCTCCTAAAACGCATGAGGAGTACCCCACCACAAGTATTGGATTATCCTCAAACCCCACCCTCAGACAAAATCCTCGTACCAGAGCTTTCAGTGTCACCCAGCTATGCAATTCCATCTCCATATGCAATACAGGCAGAAGCATACAGGCCTAACTCGGTATCGCCCGCCCCGCAACATCTATCCAGCTGGGAAACCCAGAATGCTGGAGTCGAAGGATATGGATATGGAAATGTGAACGAGTTACCAAGTCAACGCATGTAGAAAAGATAATCGAGGAAATAATGACTTGAGAATGAATGAAAAATTGACGCAAGGATATACTTTGATGTTGGATGATGGTATGTGGTAGCATAAAGATAGATTAATGATAGTTGACACCTAAAGGTGTTCCAACAAAAGTGTCATGTGCCAACTCACCCTTACGCTCTGAACGATTTGCACCCTCATAAGAGCCATAGATGTGGTACCGCTAATTATTATAAGCTTTTAATATAGTTTTACATATATATGCGTGTGTGCTTAGATAGCGTAATACAATCACAGCTATTACTTGCATAGAAGTGTTATAAAGATAGAGCTTATTATTAATACACTTACACTACTAATTAAACTAGTAGAAGGTTTCTATATATAGATTATAAGAATCTAATTTAGTTTATAGTAGAAGCTTCTTCTCTACTTGCACACTCTATGTACTTATAAATTTAACCTTCTCTAGTTTTATAATTTTAGATTTAGCTACACTATTGCTAAGTTTTTTATCTATAGTGTTATCTTTAAGCTTAACTAATGTATATAAGGATGGGGCTCTGTACTACTGCGCTAATACAACTAAAAAGGTGCGAATAATCAACCAACAGTTGATCAGCGTACATAATAGTATATATACCTGTCGCGCGTAAAGACTCTAGTACAAGCCGTTTCTATTCTTACAGTGCATTATCACCCTTTGTAAGGACTAGCGGCCTTACAGTGCATTATCATCCTTTGTAAGGACTAGCGGCTTTACAATGTATTAGATGTATTTATATTAATCTTACTAGGCTCTAGCTAGAGCTTTAAAGACAGCTATAGAAAAGTAATAAATGTAATAGTAGAAGCCTTTTTTTAACAACTTTCTTGCTAATAACTTGTTTTTAGACAGTACTATATATTTTTCTAGCATTAAGCTAGAGACGATATTTATATAGATAGCAAACACAGCATGTAATATATAGTAGAGTGTAATCTATTAGGCAACACTATTTTAAAAGACATAGAAAGCTACTTAGAGCGCAACTCTATAACTAGTTAGATTTAATATAGCTTATAATATTGTTTCCTCTAGTAGCTAGAGATACTTTATAATAAAAGTTATAGCTAAATTCTATATAATATAAGTAGAAATACTTAAAGCATAGTTACATATTTAACAACAGCTATTGTCTGTACATAAGTACAGCTGAATTAGGTTGCCTGAAACAGTTAGCTATCTAGCCTGTGCGTAGCCACGCAGAGAAGGGACCTACTACTAGATGCGTAGCTATCTAGAGAAGTAAGCTAACTAACACTAATTAGTTCTGTTAACTAGCAGATTTTTACTGCGTGCGTAGCTACACAGAGGAGACATCTCCCTAAGATAATAGATTAGCAAGGTGGCTTTAACTGCTAGTACAAGAGCTAGCCCGCCGCTGCAGTATCTATCTACCGCGTGCGTAGCCACGCAGAGGAGGCACCTACTGCACT